TTATGAAATTGAATTTGACCCATTTATAGTTTTATTTTATGAACAGAATAATTTTTTTCGGTTAAACCTTCATTTGATTTTTCATTGTTGGCAAGTCTGGTTAGTTTGGTTAGGTTATGATAGTTTAATTTTATAATAAAAAAATTATAAAATAGGGTTTGAGGCATTTATAATTTTATTTTATGAACAGAACTATTTTTTCGATTAATAAACCTTCATTAGATTTTTTCATTGTCAGCACGTTTGGTTGGTTTGGTTAGGTTATGACGGTTTAATTTCATAATAAAAAAATATAAAATTGAATTTGAGGCATTTATAATTTTATTCTATGAACAAAAATAATTTTTCAATTACTAAACCTTCGTTATAGGCAATCAGAAGCCTCTAAATGACACTGTTGGCAAAATTAATCCTGAAAAAAAAATTGTGCGTGCGGGGCTATGTACATTTCGAGAACGGCGAATAGGTATTGCGTGCATGCTAGTTGCTAGTTGCATGGTAGAAATCCACTAACTATTGTCAATTTTATGTGAATATGTTACACTTAGTGACAACATAATTTACATAGATATAGGACTGTATAGTGTAAATAAGGCAGAGTTTTAATTGATTCAAATTGTGTCAAATTCCTACGGGGAAACTTTGGACCTTTGCCTTTGGCACGGTTCCCAACCCCTGTCGCATTGCCCCCCTTTCAGATATATTACTCTGAATATCTATCAGGAATATGTGAAAAATCTGTATTTTTAGTTGCCCGATTTTATTTTTGTTTTAGGGTATTTCCCATATAGGGGATGTTAATGAATTTCTACAGTATATTGAGAATAAGCTGATGTCCCTAGAGACCAAAACACCATCCGTTCAAATATATATTGTGTGTGTCCGTTAGCACAATAAATCGAGCAAAAATCATCCGATATTGATTAAATTTGCTACAAACGTGTTTAAACCTACATTTATTCGAATAAGATCGTGAACCAGCATGCTAGGACTATGGGAACGGAGATTTGTGGGATAAAGAAGATGTTTTTTTCTAATTTTTGACCACCAAACGTAGAATTTCCCAATTTTTCAAACATTGTTTAAAGCTTACGAAACACAAATAGACTAACTGTTTATGGATATATTTTAATCAAACTTGTCCAATATGTGCGGGACGAGCGAAGGTCTTGTACTTAGCTCCTGCTTTTGTTTTACAAATACTCCTCCTGAACGGCTGTAGCGATCCACACGAAATTTAGCACACTCATAGTAACCAACTATGGGATGGAATGGTATAAATCTGAAATGGTATAAATCAGACAACAGGACTTACTCTACGTGAATTTAAGCTTTTAGAAATTTAACATGAGCCTTTGGGTATTTTGGTCACCATGACAGTTTGCGGTACAACAATAAAAAACTAAACAAAATAAGAGTCGTAACATGTTGAGCATAATTTACTACAAAATAAATAACCAATTTGGGTTTATCCGCCATATTATTTTAAATACTGCGGTCGTTTCATTTATGTGAACCAAATAAAGTAAAAACTTGAAAACAAGACTCTCATAGGGATTATAAAATAAGACTTGTTATCATGGTTGACTTCTTATCGAGGTTTGCAATATATGTGATTAGGGGTAAAATAATATCAAGGGGTTTTGAAATGGCCCTTCAAGGGCACAGAAAACATACTACTAAACCAAAAGTAGTATGTTTTATGTGTCAAGGGTGACTTGTTATCGAGGGTCTTGTCTTGGTCTTGTTGTCGACGTTGAAACGTTCTACCTAAGGGAGTATGTTTTATCTATGGTTCTACTAACCACAGTTAATATAATACTGTAATTGTCTGGTTTCCGTATTCTCTGTGGTAATACCATTGACTTTGATAACACAAGTAGACATCTCATTTGTGTGGTGCAAACTACACTCATCTCCATTCATACTTGGCTTAAAATACCTACCTTTGTATGATAGCTATTTCAAAGAAAAAGTATTAAAGCAATATAGGCTACCATTGAATTTGGATATTGCAAGAAGACATCTCGTTGGTTTGAACAAAATTTTCCATTGAACAGACTGGATTATTGACTATGGATATTGATATTGGATATTGTATGTAGACATCTCATTTACGTGAACGACGCAGCATTGATTTTGGATACTTAGTTTATTTTACCACTATTTTATTTACATAGATTTGTGAAAATCAAATCAGGAAAATCGCTCAATATGATGCTTTACTGCGGTGGGGGTATTTTAGTCTTATAAAATTTAGGCCACCCTCATGAATGATTAGGAAAGATCAATGATCAATAAACAAGGAAAGGTGTTTTTGTTCTTGGTAAATTTGTGAATTCCATCCAATAAATAAGTTATTTAGTGTTTTTTGAAAATGGTCAATAAAAATCTTGATCTTGAATCTTGATAGCAATCTTATGTGCAAAAGTTTTAAATATTCAAAGGATTCAAAGGCATTCCGGCTATATCATGAATTGTTCGCTTCATCAATGCAGTATGGTGTTGAGCTTTGGGGAGGTATTTCAGGTATGGAGTCTGTTTTTAAATTACAAAAAAATATCTTAGAATCATGACAAATTCTAAACCTAGAACATCCTGTAAATCTATTTTTAGGGAACTCAAAATTTTAACACTACCATCTATGTACATTAGTAAATGTCTGTTTTATGACAAATCTAATTTTAATATGTTGATGGAAGATCAACATATCTATATGATTAATACGCTACACGAAACTTTGTCGGTTGAACTCCTCCGCCATTTCTTAACCGATTTTATCCATTGACGTCTCATTGGAAAGAGCGTGTCGCGTAGATTTGCAAACTGGCCTTACATTTTTGAAATAGTCCCTTGGGCTCTGCCACAGCCACCTCAAGATCTGCCCCAGTGGCTTTGAAAGTTCCCATGTTATCCTTATGAAGAACATAATTGTTTACATTTTGATCAGATGTATAATTTATTGCTGTTATTTATTTTTCAATTCAATGAAAGGCTCTGAGTACATTTATTTACTACTAGCAGAGTACCCGTCCTTCGTACGGGGTTGGAATATAAGTAAAAAATGCTTATTGCAGTTATACTCAAGCTTTGCGTTTGCAATAAGGGAGGACACAGTTTGATAAAATTTGCTTTTTTAAATTTACAGTATTCTATAGTATTACACATCTACCATAGCCATAATGTTCTACCACTTCACCTAAACAATAGAGAAAAATAAATTATCAACAATTCGCAAAATATCACAAATTATTCATGAAATGAAAAACATAAACATAACTGTAAACAATCCTACTTTGACAGTTCTCATTGCGAATCACGCTGCTTAGTTCAAACATAGACAAAAGTTGTCTATGGTTCATAGTGGCGTCCCCATCTTAAATAATTGATAATTGATAATTGATAAATTAGCTGTTTTCATAAATGCAAAAAAATATAGTGCTGCACCCTGTTGGTAAATCTTATAACTTTTTAATGCTTTTCCATATCATAGAACCATAGACTAACCAACACAAGTAGACTTCTCATCCCATTGTAAATTTTGAAGCACGTTTTTCATGTCTAGTTCATGTACGTGTCACAAAGGCGCTAGTGTCGACGAAACTTTGTTTCTATTATTTTAGTTTTAATTTCTTGATTTCTGCTTTACTGTTTGGTTATATAACTAGGGGACAAGTTATTGTTTATGATTAGATCGTATTATTTGGTTAAACAAGGTTTTAAATGGCTGTAATAACGGGGAAAAAATTGTAAACAAAACACGACCTCTACATAAACCGTACAGAACTAACAATAAAATTGTCTTCAGCTGTTCCATAAGGATGAGAAATCTACTAAGGGAGTATGTTTTATCTATGATAGAACCAAAGTATTTTAGTTGAAACAGCTGACTAAATTCTTTAATTCCCTTTAAATATGAATACTCATAAGGTTAACATGGGGAATTACAGAGCCACTGGGGCGGAGCCCGAAAGGATTTTTGAGATAAGAATATGCCTATATGTTAATCGGGAATGTAAGCTATCATCATGCCAAATTTCAGCCCAATCCGTCCAGTGGTTTATGCGTTATTGAACTTCAAACAAACAAACAAACAAACACACAAACTTTCACATTTATAATATTAGTAAGATTTGAGTTTGTGTAAACATAACCCCCAAGACGGATCGTGTTAGTATGGTTGTATCTTAAATTTGTGTGTATACAGTTGTTTTGTGTAGCTATATAATTTGTTTATTTGTTGTTATTTCTTTTTCACCACACTATGATGTTTTTGGCTGTATTACATCCTGTTAATTGGTGGCTGAAAGTTACGTTTTGCTGGCCATGCCAGCTGTCATCGTAATTTGGGGACCAAGCAGTTTTTTACATCCCGGGGCTGCAAAATCAGCCGGCTTTGTCATCAGCCGTCAAAGAGTCACTTTAGGCCCTAGTTCACAATTATCAGACTAGGAACAGAAATGATTTCCAGTTTCCTATTCATAGATTAAGTTCCTTTGAAAAGTTGCCTCAGTATTTTGGGGAAAAATATATAATAAGCTACCAAACAGAATAAAGAATATTGATAATGATCTTAAGTTTAAGAAAGAAGTTCAGTCCCTGCTGCTAAACAAAGTATACTAATGTATAAATAATTTTTTATGTGACACTTTGTAATATTATGTAAATATGTTAATGTATATAAAATTAAGGCATTCGATTAAGTTTTTGCCGAAAATTGTATCATATACAGTATATATTTTGCTTTTAGTTTTTAAGATGTTGACATATCACCTGTTTTACCAGCTGTGCTGGGGAGGAACAGGAAAATGTATTGTTGTGACGAATTAATTAAGAATCTGAATCTGAGGCTTGAAACAATTCAACGCGTTTTACCAAGAATTAAAGGACGGTAGGTAGCATAATTAATTACTGTATCGTAATCGTTTTGTATCTTTTATTTAACAGAATAGTAAAAATAATCAATACTTTTCAATAATCAATGAATTTGCATTTTTTAGGGCTGCAGCAGACCTTTTCTTTGGTGGGGTTGTGTTGATGATTAGTTAACATCAGCATGTCATCGCGATCCAAAGAGAAGATGGCGGCTGCCTTCCGGAAACTTTTTCGGTCAACGGAAAAAATGGCCGACGGCGAAGGAGGTGGAAGTAGTGGTCAAGCCAAAACTGGAGGTAATTTTTTAGATAATTCACTATTTTTGTAACAACAGTCCTAAAATTTGTTCAGTTTTTTTAGAGTTCAAGGAGTTAAGACATATGAATCAAGATTTTTTGTTTAAAATCTTATGATTTTCACAATTTGGTAGGCCTACCTATTTCCTAACCTATAGATATAGGCTACTATTCTAAAGCCGGGTTTACACTATGTAGCAAAACCTGTTATAACTTAATAGGAGATTTGTGTAACATCTAGCAATATTATTATATTATGTAAAATTTGCTTGAAAGAGTAAAGGTAACTTTTCAAACTTGCTATAAGTTATGTAGCAGATCCTACTAAGTTATATTTAAGTTAGCAACAAGTGTGCTATCCATCAGGAGTCGGTAAAGATCAAAAGAAACACGTGCTACATCTTATTGCTTTATATAGCAATGATACCCATATATTTTTTTCTAGTAGGCTATCTGTGCTTATATATAGCATTTAGGCCTATGTAGTGTCATCAGATCACAGTTGTCTATGTACAGACATTTTTGCTCGGGCTCGACGATCTTTGTTTATAATAGGGCTGGAAAGTGACAGTGCGTGGGATCGGGATGCTATCATAAACTTTGTGGTCACGTAAAATGTTTTTGAAGCTACCATCGCACCTTGTTTCGCGTATTGATGATGTATCGTCATCATTAAGGTCCCGTAGTAAATCTGTTTCACTGTAATTTCTTGAAGCAAGCGACGATCAAACCTAAAAACTTCGCTTCCGCCTCTGACTTCCTAAGAACCATAAGTATCTAGGCTAGCAGGGCACCGGAATCACTAAAATTGTCTGTAGGCCTAATAATTTGTTTTTTAAATCTAGGCTAGCAAAAGTTAGCCTATATAAGTTAGGTAGCAATGTTATATAGCAAAATAGCAAAACTTATATATAACAATGTTATTTAGCAGTAATACCGGTAATATAATAATAATAGGCTAAATACCTTATTTACGTCTTCAATCCTAGTAGTCTTTTTATGATTACTAAGTTATAGTTTCGGAGCTAACAGCTCCATTGTCAAATCTTCTTGCCTGAATAGGTTTGGATTTTGTTGAATTTTTGAAGTCTATGCTGCGGTAGGTCAATGCTGTGTTTGATGCGAGTGTTGTAAGAGTGTTGCTCTTGTCATAGGGTTGGGGATTGTTGTCTAGCCAGGATTATGGTTTCATAGTCATAGATACTAGAGAGAGTAAAATTAGACTGAAGATTTTAAGCTGGGTAAGGTAAAAAAAGGTTTGCAGTGCTCCGAGGGTTGTAGGCTCAGTATTGTTCTCAGTGTCTTCTTTTGTCGAACCAGGATGAGATCCATGTTCTTCGCTTGTATGGATTCCCAGGCAACGATTCCATAAGTTACCGCAGATAAGAAAATAGTGAGTGATATGCCAGAATTGCAGTATTTTCATCTGTTATTGCTCTAATTCTTCTAATTCTAATTGGTGAGTTGTAGCTAATTTTTGCTGAGATGGTGGGTGTGATCTTTTCAACTCAAGTTTTGGTCTACGATAACTCCCTAGAAATTGGTTGATGTAGTGATGTGAATCTTCAATCCTTGTCACTCCTCTTCGGTTCTAGAGTCGAAAAAAGCATAATTTTTCTGGCTAAAAACAGTGAATTTTTATGCATTTAGTCTTTCCTTAGTAAAGTTAAAGAATATTTCACTTTTAAACCAATAATATTACGTGAATAACTTATGTTAGGACAAAAATTGAATTTTAACCCTTTCAGACCCGGGAATCTGAGTCATCTCAACCGCTTTAAGTCCTGAGCAAATTTTGAATAAATGTTGGTTTTTAACCTAAATTTTAAATACTAAAATTATTGATTTCAGTAGGTTTGTTTTAAAGACAGAACCTTCATAATACCATATTAACCATTTCAGTTTCAGCAATAATTAGCATTATATATGTTTAAAAACATAAATAAAACAGTCATTAGCCTTAACAGTTGCCTCTTTCTCCTATCTTGCCGTGACATTGCAACAAAACAATCAGTGTTACCATGAGACATGAAGGCAGACTGCAAAACAAAAATTCCCAGCTGATCTCCATAACCTACACAATCGTTGCGTACAGGTCTGAGCAACAGAAAGATCCAGAAACTTAAAAAAAAGAAAATAAACATCTAACCTACACAATCGTTTTGTTTAGGTTGTCAGGACTTAAACATTTACCTACACAAATGAGTGTGCTGGGTCTGAAAGGGTTAAAACAACAGAATAGTAGAGGTTAAACTATCTACAACAACAACAGTGGAAGAGTACACAATGTATAACACATGTTTTTGATAATAATTGTTCAAATGAATTTGAAGTTACAGGTACGGTAATTTGGTATTACAGTCACAGTCTTCCCCTCTAAAAAGAGAATAGGCAGACCAAATAATTCACTTATTTAATCTAACAAATATTGGCTGACGAAACCTTGTTCAACTTGTGGATGAAATCTTGGTGTAGAATAAGTTTATTCATAGTTAACTGGTGGCGCTAGTGTAGGTAATTGGATTTATGGATTTTGCTGGAGTAGAGTATTCAAAGTAATCGGGAGCAGGAGTCGTGTACTAGAATTGGATCAGTAGTACAATCTTTGTTTTGAGAACTGTCGGCACTAAAGGTTTCACAGCTGGGTATAAGTAGGCCTACAGGTAGGAGACAGCCGGGGCTGGTAGTTTGTATGTTACAGTACTGGTTTAATGGCTTTAGGTAGGTTAGAGGTTGAACTCGAGAGTGGAGAATAGCCGTGCACTATCTGTTGTAAGGTTTAGTTACGAACTAATTAGAAACAAGTGTTAGCAACCAAGTTCAAACATTTTGTTCCAAACTTTGGTGTAAATGCGTCTTTAAGATCTCACGTAATGCGTATGCTACTTGGCTTTTTGCTTGAGCTTCCCTTGTTTGCCTTGCTATAAGTTATAACATGGTGTGTACATATTTTGAAAAAGTGTACCTATTAATTATCCTATCTGCCAAAACAATTTTTCCCTATTATCCTTTTATTTATATTCTAGTATTGAAACAGATCTTCCTATACTAACGCCCACCACGAATTCAAACAAAGCACAATGTAGCCTACGAACAACAAAGAAACTATAGGCTACTAATTTTCTATTAAATGTGTTTTAGGCTCACCAGCGAGACGTTTGCTCAACAGGCATCGAGATATCGTCACGCCAGCGGAACCTGGACCCCTCGACAACCCAAGTCCGAGGACCTCGAGTGGCCTCTTCAAGAAGAAAACTCCTGCAATGCCTCAACCTGACTCCACCCCTCATGAGAAGAAGGTCAGAACGCGACGGCTCATGAAGGAGTTGCAGGAAATTCAGAGGAATGAGAAAAAGGATGATCCTGTATTCACAGTAAGATTATTGGAATATTTCTATGACTTCATTCCCATATTTTTCAAGGGAACGGTAATATTGTTACTGTTTTGTTATCATTGTGAATGTAGCCTAACTGTAATTGTACCTACTCTGTTGACGGTTCAATTCAACTATGTTAAATTCCTTTGTAAAATTCCCCCATTTATTTTAGTGGAGTGAGTTGTTTTATTAGAGCAGTTTCAGTCTCAGATATCTCAGACTCAAGTTCATTGTACGTGTCATTAAATGTATGGAAAGTAAATAAAAGAAACATCTATAACACTTAAAACATATATTTACGCTTATACTGTTACTCACAAGATGGTAAATATACATAAAAGATGGTAAGTGGTTAACCACTTGTACTGTTACTCACGTGACGGCAAATATACATCAAAGATCGTAATTGGTTATCTATCTTGTGAGTGACTGTATAAGTGGTTAACCACTTGCCATCTTTTATGTATATTTACCGTCTTTTGAGTAACAGTACAAGTTAAGCGTAATTAAGTGTTATGAGACGTTTCTTTTATTTACTTTCTGTGCTTAAATATCCAAAAGTCAATGCTGGGGTCCTGAAATTGCTGTAAAGGTAGGACAGAAAGAAAAAAGATAACTACAACATGGAAATGAGATTGCTACTACCTTTGATTAATGATACAACTGGACATTCCATCCCCATGTTTAAGTTGTCACCAGTTTTAGCGAATTTCCCTACATGGAAGTAGCAATTACCGTAGGTCTCATGGTAAGACCTTGGCCCGGGACCGAATTACTTTTTCATTTAGATGTCCCCAGAGTCAAAAAACACCATTCGTTCAAATTTTTATGTATGTATATTTATACATGTGTGTCCGTCCGGCGTAATTTTTGTCCAATTTTGATAAAATTTGGTTTGAAGGTGTAAGGCGGGATAAACTTGAATGAGATCGCAAACCAGCATGATCGGACCATGGGAACGGGGTTTAACGGGGGGGGGGGGGGGGGGGGGGTTTATGGGGTTAAAATGGGGTTTTCTAATTCTTACCCTTAAAACACAAAATTTTACAATTTTTCTCCAGACCTTTTTAAAGAGCTTAAAAAACAAATCATTTAGTATAGTATCAATGTGTTTTTGTGCAGTGATTGGTTATGTAGAATATTTAAAAATTGTTAATTTAAAATTCCCATGTTATTCTTATGGAGAATATTATAAAATGTTGTAGTTGGCTTGTTTATGGATATATTATATTTTTATCAAACTTGGCGGATTTATTTATTTCATGCTATTAATATTTCAATAAAAAACACACTTTATTAGTTTCCCTGTAGCAGATAACCTAGGTACTCGTTAAACATAAATGTTGATTTAATAGATTAATTGAAAATCAATCCAGGCAAATGGAAATTCGCTTAGTCCGCAGGTCCGCTGCAGCGGGGTATTTATTAAACATTTTTGTAATTTATGTGAGCCACAAACTGATAGTGCTGATCTTAATTAGCCTACTAAATTCTGTTGAATACAAGAATTTTTTACCAAGTCAAACTAATGGAATGAGCTGTTGTTTTGTGAGCTATAGTACTGTAACTGTTATGACCATCAACTTGGCCAGCAACTTGAAGTAAGGTAGAAAATAGACCATTAGCTCATTCTGTGACTGGCTCTAGACACTAGTGGATTCTGTGACTGGCTCACACAACTAGTTTCCAACTAAAATTGGTGACAGCTGGTCCATATAGATGGGATGCCTACTTCAGTATCCAATAGTCAGATGCTACTTACTACTCTGTCAAAGCTAAAAAGTTAACTTGTTTGCAGGTAAGCCTAGTGAATGACAACCTGTTTGAATGGCATGTTCGCCTCTATCGTATCGACCAGGAGAGCGACTTGGCCGCAGACATGCGTGAACACAATGTCTCACACATCCTCCTTCACATCACCTTCCCTGACAACTTCCCCTTCATGCCACCCTTCATGAGGGTCATCTCCCCCAGGATAGAGAGAGGCTTTGTCATGGAAGGTAATTAATGTAGTCACATTATCTGTGTTTGTCTATTTTTGTGGATAGTTTGAAATCCTGTTTAACATTATTTGTAGCTTGTTTGATTTAGTCTTTATCGTCATACAAAGATACAACTTGCTGTATTGTCATACTTCAAAAACAAGGTCCGCTGTTTTTATTACACATGTTTGCATTACGGAGCTAAAACGTCTTTTTTTCTGAGAGTGAGCTGGATTTGAGGACATTAAAAAAAATTGTTTGTCACATAGGCCAGAAGTGTTATTTTAGCCCTCGCTCTTTTTCCGAATTCTGTAGGACATAGCTAATTCAAATCGTTTACTATTTATATTTCCAAAATTGTGTTCTGAAACTTTCACATTCGAACAATTCATACCCAGTTTTGAGGTATTATTTCTTCTTTTTTATACAACTAACTAATCAATTTTTTTATATAACTAACTACAGTAGACTCTCTCTTATCTGGACTCCTCGGGACCGAGGCCAGTCCGGATAACGGGTTTTCCGGTTAAACCGACGTCCCCAAAACTCGTTAAAACGGACTGTTTACTGTGATATTTGACTTAAATTTATGAGAGCATTGTATTTAGACATGAGATCACTGATCTCAAATCTTCCCACGAGAACAGTCGTTTCAGTACTTCCCACGAGAACAGTCGTTTCAGTACTTCCCACTACCTGCCGATTTAGTCCGGTTAAACCAATGTGCTGATAAAAATTGTCCGGTTAAAGAGATGTCATTTCCGCAGAGTGTAGTCCGGTCAAACCGATGTCCGGTTAAAAGGTGTCCGGATAAGAGGGAGTCTACTGTAAATCAATTTTATTTTATGTGATTTAATTATTTTACCAAACGTGTTTGTAACCTCCGTATGTCAGCTAATTGAGCTGGTTAGCTGTTCAGCTAATTCAGGGCTACATGGTGACTATTGGAGATGGCTGTTTAGCGATGTATTTTTATCATTATTATGTTGTATTTCAAAATCAGTGTGGCTAATCAAGGGTTAAAATTAGAGATATTCCGATTCCTGATACCTTCGATACCAGTGGTATCGATGAATCGCCAATACTCGATACTTCGCTTCATTGTACACGATACCAATTCTGAAAAGGGAGGTTAATTATGATGCTAAACTTAACTGACGTCGAAGGTTGTAAAGAGTGGCACATCATAGTTTATTTGGAATACTCTGATGTCAGTTAATATAAATAATTCTAAGTTCATTATCGCACATTCATAATAATTTTTATAATTAAAAATAGCTCCCTTTTGCATTTTACAAGAATGATGTGTTCAACTGACAAATAGTAGAACAGAACTAACTGTAGTTGAATGATAGAGGCTTATCACTTACCGCCATGTTGTCACATCAAGGGCAATGTTGCCAGATGATACAAGCATTGAATACCTATATAAATATAATACACACAAAGTGTATATAGTCAATGGTACTTAGTATAACTCGCGTTTTCTAACTCGTAATAGAGTTTATGTACAATTCATTAGCAGCTTAAGAGCTCAATAACTTGCTGATCATAGTGTATCATACTGATGCGTACGAGTTTGTAGGCGCTAAGTTTTGTTTGTTATTTTTATATGTGCGTGATCAATGCCCCAGCTTACTTATACTATACTAGGGGCCACGAGAGTCTGCAGTTGGCGGGGGGGCCCGCGAGCTATGGGTGCCCGTGAGCAGAGAAAACGTATTGGTTATAGTAGTATGTTTTCTGTGCCGTGAGCCCTGACTGGGATTTTTTCGGAAATTTTACCGGGGCACCGGCCCGCAATTGTGTGACAGGCTCAGCCACACGGGCCCCCTATCATAACAATATTTATATGAAAATGACCATATTTTTTTTTTATGCCGAAACTTTGTTAACCCCAGTAAGAGCACTAGGACAAGTAGTTTACAACAGCTTAACTGACACTATTATTTGGCCGATCGATATAAACTCTCTACCAACCTTAGTAAAAGAATTGTCATCAGTCATACAGGTTGCATCAACAGTCCTTATGGACTGCGTGAAGGCGCTATATAGGGCTGTATTTAGAACCAATGTGTCCCCGGCCTAGGAGGATAAAACATTAATGGTGGGGCACACCAGAGAGGGCCCTCAATGCTGATTTAACTTAATGAACTTGACAATTTTTTACGATCAAATCGGTGAATTAACCTAGGTGCCTGATGCACTAGCTAATAAATAATTCCATTCTTTCATTGACGCTGAAGAAGGATTTTCATTTCACTTCATTTCTTACTATTAGGAGGCTGCTCTTTAGATTTGTTTACTTCGAGTCAGGTAAAAAATTTTACTTACTTTTAGGCCTCGGGCCAAATCAGAGCGGTTCAAAATCGGTTTGCTTTGGAAACTGTTGATTTTTATATAATGTCGATTTTCGAGCCGAGCACTCGAGCTGTATATAAGCTTGAGGGATCAAGCACAAAGTCAGAAAATCAAGCTCAAGCCGAATTTCTCAGTACAATAATGCAAAATTAAAATTAAAACTTTTATGTCTGCGAGGATCACGCTCACGAAATTGAAAGATTAGGCCTACGTTTTTGCCGCGATCGTGGATATCGACGAGAACATTTCCCCGCGGGTGACAATGACGATGTCTCCGCGGCCACAGGAGACGTTCAATATTTTGCCGGATTGCGGAAGACGTTATTGACGTTTTTCTGCGAGCGAGATATATTTGGGATTTTACCGCGATTGGGGAAAAAATTATTTCCCCGTCACCACGGGTCGCGGGGCGGGAGATTTTAGGGATTGGGCCGTGAACGCGGGAGACGATAATGTTGTTATCTGATGATGTCATAGGTCATTTTGCCGCGATCATGGAAGACGATGATGACGCCTCGGGAGACGCCGTACCAAGCTAAAGTGCAAGTTTGGGTGGTAATACATGTGATATAATATTTTTTAAGATTATTGGGAGGGGGCCCGGTGAACAAACTTGCGGGGGGGCCCGCGGGCTCTTGTCCACTGTCCATGACTTTTATGTGATTTTTTTAGTAATTTAAGTGATATTGATGGTGACAATATTGAAGATGACTTTGATATTGACTTTGAGTCTATAACACTAGCAATATGGAACATTCATTGTAGGCCTAGATGTATGAATTCTTATGCAAACAAAAAACTCAGTGAACATTTTAGGCCTACCTAAACCGGTGATTGTTGTCTCAATTTAATTTAATAAAATATGTTAAAATGTATGCCTTCTTGAAGTATCTTATTTTCCTTATAGGCTAACCTAATAATCTATGTAGCCTAACCTTAATCAATAGCAATGCAGTTATCTTATTGTATAATGATTAAATAAAAATAACATAGGGATAGCGAGAAGCACACATAAGTTATATGTGTTATTAAATGAATTTTTAACAGGTATCTGTATCGAGTGCGGAATCGAGAATCGAAACTAAAGTTGTGGAATCCATATTGGAATCAACCAATTCAAGGATCGGCCCACCACTAGTTAAAATTTAAGAAAAAGTCTGGTAACCAAAGTAAAACTATGATTTAGATAAATAATAAATAATAAAAAATAAACACTTGACTGACTGAGTGCAAGCATAATCTCTTTATTTTATTATCATATTTCATGTCTACCATATATTTTATTTATTCCATTATATCTTTATTAGGTGGTGCCATCTGTATGGAGCTGTTGACTCCACGAGGTTGGGCGAGTGCTTACACTGTTGAAGCATTAATAATGCAGTTTGCTGCTAGTATAGTCAAAGGACAGGTAAGGATTCGTTTCTTAACTCTGTATAAAAGAGTAGCTAATTTTCATTTAGATGAGCTTTACCTAAATCTTTTATTTCCAATCTATAAAAACATATATTAGTGTAAAAAAAGATTTCTGTCAACACACCAACTATGCAACTAGGTGTTGTAGCATGTTTTTTTTATCTCATATCAACTATTTCAGTTACAAAAACGAAGAGAGAAAATAGAATTGAAGACCGTACCACACTCGTTGAGTCTTTAAGCTGTCTTTTAGGCAGTCTTTAGAATGAAAAAAAAAACTGCTGAAGCTGTTGGATATAGAAATGATGCCTACTTCAGTATCCAAAAAGTCAATGTAACTTCACAATGCAACTGAATGTTTTACAGTTGATTTTCAATGTACGAAGTAGCAGTAGCCACAAAGTAGACTATGATGATCAAGTATTCATTGCTGCAATTTCAGGAAGATCCTTATGGCATGCTGAATGTAATGGCCTGTTGTATGATGGAATATAGACATCTCGCTCTCACACTGTACGATTACATCTGCTATTATAATACTGTAAAACCAAATTGAACTAAGGTTCATTTTAGGCATAGTGAAAACATTTAAGCTGGAATATTTAAACTTCACCTTCCACCATGAGTTCTTTTTTCGTTGACTTTAATGATGAAATAGATCATTTGCTTAAAGCATTAGTTTTTATTTTTATACATTTTGTTCGGTTAATTTATTGTTGAATGAATTTGTAAACCACTATGTTCAGAGATTTATGGAACAGATGCCAAGATTTAGATACTGATAAACGCTTCATAATTTGAAAGTTTGAAGAATTCTGAGTATCAATTATGTTGCAGGGAAGAATAGCGAAGAAAACAAAAAGCAGTAGTAAGGACTTCAGTCGACGTTCAGCAGAGGAATCGTTTCGCAGTTTGGTCAAAACTCACGAAAAATACGGCTGGGTTACACCACCTCTCTCAGATGGTTAATTGGATCAAAACCCATAGGGGTTCAAAAGGCATTTTATATGTTGCATCATATGCGCATCGGTTACCAAGCATCGACTTAACTTGCCACATCAAAGACAAATGGGTTATTTAAAGAGGCTATTCTAGTCAATAATTGATTTTACTCAAGAACAACCCAGTAACAGTAACCCAGATATTATTAATTAACAATATTTAATTATTTTTGTTCCTTATTCCTCACACACATCTCATTTACTCGATAGTTTAAACGATTCCTACATTCCAATATGATGCAGCATGTGAGTTTCAGAGTTAGTTTTTCCAGTATATTTCGACCTGTACTATTTGTGTGCCAAAAATTAATTGGTAATGTCTTTCAGATTTATCTTAGTAGGATACCGTGTCGATTATTGTGCATTCATCTCTGAGACTTAAACTATGCCAAAAAGTGTATTGACAAAACTGTATCCATGTACATTTTCGATTTATTAAAGTTTAAGCACTTAAAATTGGATAAACTTTGTTTCATTTTTATTTTTTAATTATTTCAAACCAAATTTGAATAGTAAGAATACTATTCAACTTGTAATATTATAACGTGAACTCAAAGTCTAAACAATATTTTATTTGTTTTAAATTTACTCCTGCTTGAGAACAAATTCAAAACAACCATAGTTTCTAATGTGTGTCGTACTTAGAGCTTTTTTTAAGATATCTACTAAAAAAAAATGAACTTGATCTCTTAGTTTAGGAACAACGAGAAACCTGAGTATTTTTCACTTGTGTTTTTACTGATTTTCATCTTAAAGTTTAGACTTCTTTTTATAATTTGTGTGAGTGTTAAGCTTAAAGGTCTACAAGGTATGAAACTTTCATTAGTGATTTATGTTGAATAACATATAGGGTATGGAAATTGCACAAATTAAAATTGATAATACAAAACAAAAACTTGCAGGATATGTTTATTAGATATACTGAGGTTTTATAAGATTGATTGAACCGTTTGTAGTTAGATGTTGAATTTTTAAATTTTCTGCTAAATAATCTGATAAATTTGATAGTACGTCCAGGGTTGACATCTGCCCCTGCTCAAAGATTCCTCCCATTCCGTGTGATATATTTGTTAACTGTAGCATATTAGCTTAGCTCTAGATTTACTGTTTGGTAAGTGTCTTTGTATTTTAATATCTAAAAAGAAAAAAAACGTCCATCTTAGACCGAATGTGCTTAAAATATGAAACTGTTATACAATGTTTCATTTTGGTTTACAATAAAAAAAGAACGTTAATTTGGATTAAAAAAGTATTTTCTGTTGGTTTTACCTCATTGATAAAATAAATGTGTTAAATATTTGATCCATTTTGTGTGTGTTTAATAGTTTAGTTTAAGAAAATGCAGAAGATTTTTTTTCAGTTGATTTTATAATTCTTTTATACATTGATTCAAGTTTTTATTTTAGATCCTGTATTAATTTGTGTACTTATTTTTCTTCGGTTAAAAGTAATCAGATTTTTGTTCTTGAGTTACTTTGTGTTCTCATAAATAATTTATGAACTAACTATACAAATAAATTTGAATCAATCAATTTACTGTGTTAAGATGTAAATGACATGATTTAAAAAGACAATATGTATTAGTCTTATAAAATGTTTCCCTTGATAGAATAGATTTATGTGCAGTCAGTCATACCACATGTTTCTGTACTACGTTCAACTATTCTCATTTTCAATAATTGTATACTCGAATCGTTGAGTAGGATCCTGATTCTTTTATAATAATGAAGTGTTTATAAATGTTACCTAAAATCAAATAAAAAGAGAAAAGTAATAATGCTGTAGGTTTTTATTTTCCGGGGTTTACCTGTTACGGCTGTATGGCCGTTTTTAAGTGTGTGAACCATTTACAAATATTTAATAACAGACATATTTTAGAGTTTGTGATATAGTTCCTTCCATGAAGTCCCGTAGTGGTTTGTTCCTTATGGAAATATTATTTTTGAATTAGATTAGAGGTAAACAATGCATACACTCTAGGGTGTGCATATTTAAAGACGATGAATGGGTTGACAGCTTTGTTACTGACTAACAGCTTGTTCTCATCAAGAACACGCCTGGGTAGGTATTCTCCCCAGTGTTTATAGAGGAACGAATTTGGGGGAAGAGATTAGAACTTCCTCTTGACCTAGGAAAAATGTGGAAGATATGTTGTTGAGTAAACAAATTTGCCATATAAATTAGTTAAGCAGGTAATGAAATGGTTATTTGTGTAGTTACACAACATACCAAGCATTGACACACCACTCTGTATAACAATAACAAAACAGCAATAATAATGGTAGGTTTGTTTTGTGTTAAAGTATCTGTTTTGATTTTGGTTTAATAACATAAGTGTTGAGAGAGCAAAGTGGCACTTAGCTGCACACGAGAGCAATGTTGTCCTCGCCCGCGGCTCGTGCGGAATGATCTCGAGCCAAATGGAGATGAGTGTAGGATGAGTGGCACGATCTTGTAGTCTTGTTAGTGACTAAGGCCGACATATTCCCTAGACACAGCTGTAAATTAATAGCCCATACAGCTAATGGCAGCTAATAACCATGATTACTAGAAAAATACAGGTATGGATCATAAACATAAACAAATGACGTTGTTGGCCCCAATCCTATACTAATAGCATTGAACATTATGTTTTGGCAGTTCCATTTAAGCAATGTTAAATAATGTTTATTTTCGGGCCAAAATCGTCATTTGTTTATGATCCATACCGGTGCTAATAACTCTTATAGCTAGATTGCTTGAAAACGTGATTACGGTTCTTATTTTTACACATGCACCCCCACTCCCACTGGCATACTGGACTACACTAGGGATGCGGCCTCATGTCTGCCAATTGAGCTGGAGTGAGCGATATAAACAATAAGTACCTTATTTACAAATAGGCTACAATCCATATACACTAGACTCCGTATCTGGACACGTTTTAACCGGACATTGGTTTAACAGTACTACGCTCGGCAGAAATGACATCTTTTTAACCGGACAATTTTTATCAGCACGGTTAAACCGGACTAGATCGGCAGGAAGTGGGTGGTGGCGGTGCTGACAAGACCGTTCTCGTGGGAAAGATATTAGACCAGTGTTCACATGTCTAAATATAATGCTCTCTGAGTTAAACAGTCCATTTTTACCAGTTTAAAAGGACGTCGGTTTAACCGCTAAACCCGTTATCGGGACTGGCCTCCGAATAAGAGGGATTCTACTGTACCCAACCCAAGCCAAGAGGGAGCCCAAAGTACACATGAGAAAACTAAAAGTCAAACCACACTCTCATAAACCTTATACTTAAAGTGTTTGTCATGACGCGCAAAACTATTAAGGTCATAATTTATTCCTTTCTAAAGGGAACTTCCCATATACTGTATATACAGGGTGTCCCGGAACTCTCTACCAATATTTTAGGGCATTGTTCCTGGGTAAGAAACATATCTAAATATCATATTTAAATCGTCCGGAAGTCCTTAGTTACTCAGATAGCCGCCATTTTGTTTTTTTTCACTTATTAATTTTTTTCTGAAAATTGGTTTAACATACGAAGTTGAAACTTTGCACAAACATTTATGACAACTAGACAAAGCTACAAAAAAATTATGACGATTTTTCAAATTCATGAAACAAAATGGCGGCTGTTTAAAATTTTGTTTCTTAAATTACTCGAAAACCGTTGATTTTACAAAGATTTTACAAGAATAACTTTTTCAAGGCAATTTTATTACAAATCGATCAACACCTTAACCTTTAAGATCGAACAGGTATTAACTGAGATAAGGCAGTTTTAGTGATACGTGACCGCTGGAGGTTAGTTGCAGCGCATGCTGAAAGCGGTCACGTATCACTAAAACTGCCATATCTCAGTTAATAGTCGTCCAATCTTTAAGATTAAGGTGTCGATCGATTTGTAATAAAATTACCTTAAAAACGTTATTCTTTAAAATTTTTGTAAAATCAACGGTTTTCGAGTAATTTAAGAAACAAAATTTTAAACAGCCGCCATTTTGTTTCATGAATTTGAAAAATCGTAATAATTTTTTTGTAGCTTTGTCTAGTTGTCATAAATGTTTGTGCAAAGTTTCAACTTCGTATGTTTAACCAATTTTCAGAAAAAAATTAATAAGTGAAAAAAAACAAAATGGCGGCTATCTGAGTAACTAAGGACTTCCGGACGATTTAAATATGATATTTAGATATGTTTCTTACCCAGGAACAATGCCCTAAAATATTGGTAGAGAGTTCCGGGACACCCTGTATAATGTTAAAGATACCTCAGCTGTAATTATTTGTTTTTTATTCTTTCAATTTGTTGGTACCATATTAAAATCAGTTGTGATAATTTTTTTGTATTCTGTTTTGTTTATTTCAGCTTAACTTAACCAATCAATAGTTTTATTGTTGCTTATGAAGTCAAACGGGGTGAAGCCCGTAGGTCAGGGGTGCCCATCCCCCCCCCCTAGACTCCTGACGCAGCACCCCCCCCCCCCCCCACCCACCCACCTAGAGGTACACAACAAATGTGAAACGTTATCCCATCGTGGGTCCAGTTTACGCAAGGCTCATGGGACGCTCCGTGAGGCACAATTCTATTTGCCCTAATGGCGTGACATCAGTCTCTTGAGGGACCACCATTACAGCAGCAACGGTGTATAGCCATCGTTCTCGATGGTCTAGTGTCTAGTCTAGTTGACAGCGCATCTGGCTGTTGAACTGAGGGTCGCCGGATCGAATCTCACCGGAGGCACTAACTTTTTGTCAGAGATTCAGCTTAGAATTCGATTCTTCTTGACTGTACATCTTATGTTTGAGTTTGAGGCATTTATAATTTGATTTTATGAACAGAGCTATTTCTCGATTAGTAAACCTTCATTCGATTTTTTCATTAACATCAAGTTTATTTATTTATTTTACATACCAACGGACAAACTCCATACTTACAACAAACAAGATGGGAAAAAATATTTGATAACAATAATAATATCATATATTCGCTCTGGGCTTAGTGAAAATACATGCATTTAGATAATAAATAATGTACATAAGGATTCAAATGTAAGTAACTAGGTTATGATGGTTATGACATTTTAATTTTATAATTAAGTAAAACATTATGGCGTAACGGATGGCTCCCGTGAGTCTATCCGGAACGCGACCCATTCCCCCACCCAGCATTATATGTAAAACTAAAAGAAGATTTATAGATTTATAATTATTTTTAGATCTTGAAAATTCAAACCCAGTAAATCTATATAAATAAAATAAGTGTTTTTTCTGAAAATTGTTCAGAATTATACATATTTTGGGTTATTTCTACTTTTTATGGGTCTTTTATAGGCCCCTCCCCTTGTATATTGTGAGTCATGTATTACCCTTTTAATGTCCCAATCATGCTAGCTTTTTAAAAAAGCCCGGGAAAATTGTATTCATGAAATAGAGTAGCTACATGGTAGTTGATCCAAGCCAGATTTGTTAAATTAAACTAGAAAAGAAGAAGAAGCAGAGCGTTGATTTTGTTTTGTCATAGTGTAGTTTGTTTAGTTTAATGTTAATAGGTTAGGTTGTTTGTTTGAGTTCTGGTTAGAGATAAACTTATCGTATTTTCCTGTGCCAAAGATAAATAAATTATTCAGTTTGAGTTTAGGCCATTATACATTGTTGAAGTTTCAGTTTTGCTTACCTAGGTAATATGTGTAATTGGTTTTGTAAATTGTATTGTAAATTTCCTTGGTGGTTTTGTCTGATTTTGTTGTTTTCTGGCTGCGGGATTTACTATACACTATTTTACCACAATAATCCACCAAATCCTTCACCGATTGTAAACCTATGCAATGTAGATAAAAGTTTGCAAGACGAAATTGCTGGTTATATGCCAGTTGTTGAGTTAATTGTGGAGGCTACAAGTAATGAAGGGAATTTCAAAGGAAAATTGTGGAAACAGCTATCCTACTTTGTTGACAAATTTGGGAACAGAATGACTGGTACAGCTAATCTTGAAAACTCAATAAATTACATGATAAGCTTGCTTGGTTCATTTGGTTTGGACAACATACACGGTGAAAATGTGTCAGCCCCACACTGGGTGAGGTAAGCATTTCTTGTACTAGGTACAGTATCTTTAAAGCTAAATAAAGGGTACAGTTTCTTAACTGGGCTATGCTAATATTTATTGAAACTATCGATTCGATTAGTAAACCTTCATGCGATTTTTTCACCATCAGCAAGTTTGGTTGGTTAGGTTAGGTTATGATAGTTTAATTTTATAAGTTAATAGGGGAGAGTGGTACAAGGTGGGACACGGTATATAGTGGGACATTCCATATAACTTTTTTTTTTCAAAGCCATGTGGCCAGTTTCTCTCCAAAAGTGTTCTAACAAGGGCAACAGTGTGTTTTAAGTTAGTTTTGAAGTTTCAGTCATGTTGGAAAGTACTGAATGACAGCCTGCTACAACTATAGTCTCAAAAGTTACTTTTTTGAGGTAAGCAATCATCATTTTCTTATTAAATTAGTTTGATAAACAGGTTAAATATGATATGCCTAACATTAAAAAACCTTCTTTGTTCAATAGAAGGAGGTCAGGGATGTCTGAGCTGCACTGTTTGGAGTAAAACTTAAAAACAACATAACCCTACATGTGGGACAGTTATTTGTGGTGTATAGTGGGACAATGTTAAATAAGGTGGTACAAAGTGGGAAATCGGTACATAGTGGGACAAACAATGATAATTGATTTATCATACTATTATACCAATTCATAATAGGCTATATATATATAAGCATACCCATATAAATATATGACATGCCTCATCTGCTTGGTAGGTTACCTAGAATAGGACCTAGGTCTGTTAAATAAATAAAAAAACCGTTAACTTACTTTTCACGGTGAACCCTAACGCGGTTTACCCAGAAACACCACCATTTTCATAATTTTGTGTTAGGCTTAGGTATTTTTAAACTGTTTAATACATCTATTTTCAATTAAACAATTTCTTTCTACTTTTTTACCTACTTATAACATTAATACAGTTTTATGCCAAAGTACACCTACCTTTAACTCTTAAAATAGGTATAGACATATTCATTCATATCATAGTTATTCATTAAAGAACATTAGTGGAATTTTACAAAAAAAATGTATTTTTTCAGGTCCATTTAATGCCGTAGTTTTGCCGCAAGAGGTTTTTGGAGCATGCAGAAGATGGAGGAATTTCGAGCCTTATAGCCTATGTTGATTACTAACTATGTACTACAGGTTTTTAAAGGTCACACATATTAATAAATTTTAAATTTTGACTGAAACTGTCTTATATATGTATACCTCCTATGCATAACAGGATGTCCCACTTTGTACCATATGCTGTCCCACTTTGTACCATATTGCTGTCCCACCTTGTACCAGGGTCGGTACATGTTGGGACAAGTGGTATAAAGCGGGACAAACAGTTTTTGGCCTTTTAAATATAAGTTAATAATTTTGAAAAAAATATCATTAATAGTGTTTTAAAAGTTCTTTATTTTTGTGTAAAGATTGTTCTTCTAGGTCAACTAATATTGAAGAAAAAAATGTTTTAATATTTTCGTCCCAGTATGTACCACTCTCCCCTACAGTAGATATATTTTAAAATATCGATTAATCAATATTTTCCTATTCGATAGTTTCAATAAATATTAGCGTAGTCCAGTTAAAAATCTGTACCCTAAATAAATCCAAGGCCAAATTTATTGTTATTTTTGTCAATAATTAGGGTAGGTACTATCTTGGCTGCACTTTAGTTTACGTCCTAGGCTACATTTACTCACATACTGTTCTGCAGTTTAGTTAAGGTTAGGTTTAGTTTAGAACAGTTTCATTTTATAATCAGCTGGTAGTTAATGTAGGTCTAAGTTAGTTTATTGTTATTTTAGTCATTAACGAGAGCACGCCCCGTGGTCGCAAAATCGACCAAAAGTATGTATTGTGCAAACTTCTCTATTTTCACCCTACACTGTAAATGAAACATGTGATTGGAATGTCTTCCATTTGTTTTGATTTTCTGTTTATATTTTGTTGATATTTTGTCATTGTGACGCTTGCGTCACAGCGGCGACGCATCAGACGGTAAAGATCAGCTGATCACTGGGGGCAAGTGGAACCACCCACATCTGAATTATAATACCATAGATTGCATTGAGATGAATGAGGGGCAAGTGGGTCAATAGGGAAATTTTCTGTAATTATGGGATTTTTTTAATTATAAAAATAGATATCTCTATCCGTTTTTAAGTTACAAACTTTTCCATAGGCCTTTGTGGAAATCTGTAAAAAGTGTAAAGAAACGTAAAATTGCAAAATCTTATAAAAATAGGAAATTATAACAAATTGTGTTTGGTATAACTCTCTGGGCACATGATTCACTTGAAAAAAAATGTTTTTTAATATAGGCATCTAATTTTTTTAATCTAGCACATATTGTTAAGTATGGTCATTTAGTAAAAGAAAAACGTAATCTCTTAGTTTAGATATGAGAAAAAAGTTTAAACTTCAGTTGATGAAAAGCCGATAGCCTAGGCCTATCCTTTGATAATCGTCTTCTACCTCACTTTAGAATATTCTTTGCTTTTATTTTCATGTGTTTGATAAAGTAGTGGATCTCATCAACCATGGATAGTCATAGTTTGTTTAATGCTTTTCCAATGTACCTATTCAATTTCTCTTCAATTACTTTTCCTGCCCTGCAGTTAAAGGGTTTTAAATGGGTTAATCATGCTATCTTGGAATAGCTATACAGAATTATATTCTCATTGGCTGATAACGACTAATCTATTTACATAAGTCTTTACTGATATCTCATTGTTGTTAATTCTTTACTTCATAAAGATAACTTAAGCTCTTAATCCTCAAAAGCATTAATTTGTAAACTATCCTGATTTTACAGTCGGTTTTACCTAGCCTAGTGCCTTCCAAAACTGCCGCTTGGGTATTTTTTTAGTGTGTGTATTATTGTGTGTGCATCGATTGTTAGGTTGATTTTCAAACCAAATTATCTAATTTCTTCTAAGACATTTTATCCAAGCTGTTCTCCAATTTTGTATTAGGAATCTGCAGATAATTTTTATGGTGAAATTACTTTTATTAATTTAAGTTACTGTGAGCTGTTGAGTGTTTATTTTAATTAGTGTTTTACATAATGATTTCACCAGGTTATTCTAAGTTTGTAATCATTGTCGGAGCTCTAGTTATTATCGGATGTGTCGCAGGTTTTGTGTTCTATAAAGTAAAAATGAATGAAAATGAAAATTACACCCCTGTGGACCACTTATGCCAAAAATTAGTCAGTCCAACCATATCGAATGAAATTTCCAAAAATGCTGCGACTGTATTGGAAATTCTAGACTACGCAGTAGTAGGGAATTTTCGTAACAAAACTTGGGATGAACTGTCTTATTTTGTTGATACATTTGGAAGTAGACTCGCTGGAACTGAACGTTTGGAATTGTCAATAGATTATCTTATGGAGTTATTTAAGAGGTATGGTTTTGATAATGTACACGGAGAAAATGTTACGGTACCAGTCTGGCAGAGGTAAGATATTATGGTAGTTATTTTTGTATTTTCTTTTTAATCCAAGTACTTTTATTGTTTTATAATTAATATTGTTAAACATTTTTTGTAGCTATTAAACAAATTAAAATTAGCCCATAAACACACCTGAAATGTCCTAATTTCATAGCACTCTTTGTGATTCATGATGGTTAATAACTTTTCCAATTACACTTTGGAAACCACTTCTATGTGAAGTACCTACTAATCGTCTTAATCTATCGTGTAGGCTACTAGTTTGTTTAGTCTTATAAGCTTATGGTAAATTCAATACTTCCAGTTAAAACTGTATTACTCAAACTTATTATTTGCAAAATTGTCTTGTTCAACTTATTTAAAAACGTATTTAGATAAGAATAAGGAGATTTTTAATGCTGCCATAGTTTATAAGAAATTCAGGACCGCCCTAGGGGCGGGACGGCCAGGTCATCCACCCCGGTTGCCGTGGCCATGGAGTGGTTTGTGGTCAGGGGGAGTGTGTGGGCGTGGAATGTAAAAAGAATTACCAGTAACCTTATTATCAAACAACAACATTGTTGGTGAACAAATATTTTACAGGAAAATTTTAAACCTATAGTCAATAACAATGACTATTTTTTTAAAGTGGTAATATATAACATCGGTTTTATTTATAAGATATGTAACGTAATTTATTACACAACTTGTACAATATCTCACATGATGTGACTTGATGGCAACTTTTCCGAGTCTCAGCATACTGCACATACAATACGCCCACACTCGCTTCTTGCTTGATTAAATGTAATGTTTTTAGTACCGGTAGCCTAATCATTAGTTCAATGTAGTGTGTTACGATAAGTTCAGTAAGAGTTCAGTGCTCTGCGAACCAAGAACAATCTTAGTAAAATTTCAATCTTTAAAATAATATTCTTTATCTTAAATAATATTTTGTACTTTAATTTTTTTTTCATTTTCAGGCAAAAAATAGTTTGGATAAGGATAAAAATTATCTACCGTCGAAACTCGGAAGTTGGTTTATTTTGAAAAAAAAATATAGGCCTATATAAAAGGGGGTCCTCTTACCAAATATGTTTGAAGTTTTGTATAAAAAAGTCTTGAAATGGGTGTTCTTGCTGATAACCGTGTACTAAGGAATATATTAATCTTTTTAATTATGGAATAGGAATAGGCCATAAGATTACTGATTTTGTTTACATTAACCATCTATGAACCCATTCTTATGGTTTTAAATCATCTAAATAGGCCTACTGTATGTATAGGGTTTATACCAAATATGTCCGATGTATCAGACCCCCCCCCCCCCAAAATAAAAACCCTAAATCCCCTTTTTAAGAGGAGGGGGGGGCACAGATTATAATATAATCCCGCCCCGGGCGTCTCTGAGAATAGTACTACCTTCTCGATTTTGGGTTTTCATTTACCCGAGGATATTGTAAAAATCATACCATCTTGATACTTTGCAAGTACTTGACAAAAGTCAGAAAAAGGCTATGTCCCTAAATTGGTTTGTCAATTTGGTTGGCCAAAAAAATATTTAAGTCTTGTCTGGGAGCTAAAAAAAACTGAATAAAATTGTTGATTGTCTTTCTTGTAAATATTTTGCTTGTAAAGAATCTTGACATTTCATTCATAGTCAAATAGTTGTGGACAGCCTATGGCAATCCAAGGAATGGATCCAATGTATTGTTTACCGAGTTGATTGGCGGTCCTTTATTACTGCCGATCGACTGAGATAGCATTAAAGGGGACTAGGGGGCCTAAAAATACGTAATTTTCTTTAAATAAATAAATAAATAAATAAATAAATAAAAATGCCTTTTATTAGCAAGCGCTCCTCAGTACAAACTGTTTTACAGGATGACTCTTGTCAAGTAACTAATCCTAACTTAAAACTAAAGACAAAACAAAAATACTGATCCCCCTATTAACAAGATTTTAGCTATATACAAAAATACATTTTCTTTAGCCTAGATCTAAAAGCTGGGACACCCAGCATCTTCAGGTCACAGGGGAGGTCATTGTACATTTTAGGCCCAAAGAACGAAAACCCTCTCTTTCCTACTTCCAACCTCACCTTCGGGAAATGAAGCTTTTTGTCTTGTCGGGTATTGCGTTGAGACACCCGATCGCGGGTGACCAGTCTTTCAATGAGGTACGCTGGTTCCTCTTCGGCCAGTACCCTGTGTACCAGAGTGCAGGTTTGCCTCCTGCACACAGCAGTTGAAACTGCAGTTAAACTGCACACAGCAGTTTAATATTATAAATAATTTTTAAACAATGCAATATTGAGATTTACCTAAAACCCCTGTTTATTTGATAATATACAGGATGTCCCGAAACTCTCAACCAATATTTTAGGGCATTGTTCCTGAGTAAGAAACATATCTAAATATCATATTTTCAGGAAGTCCTTAGTTACTCATACAGCCGCCATTTTTTTCATTTATTAATTTTTTCCTAAAAAAGTGAAAGATACAAAATTAAAACTTTGCCCAAACATTTATGATGGCTAGACAAAGCTAGAACAAAATTATGGCAATTTTTCAAATTCCTATTTTTTAAGATTGAACAAATATTAACTGAGATATGGCAGCTTTAATGATACGTGACCGGATACATGCACTGCTACTAACCTCCAGCGGGTCATGTACAGTATCACTAAAGCTGCCATATCTCAGTTAATATTAATCAAATCTTATAACATAAGGTGTCAATCGATTTGTAATTAAATTGCCTTTAAAACGTTATTCTTGTAAAATCTATGGTTTTTGAGTTATTTAAGAAACACAATTTTCCATGGCCGCCATTTTGTTTTATTGCATTTTAAAAATTGCCATAATTTTGTTGTAGTTTTGTCTCGGTTTTGTCTAGTTGTCATAAATGTTTTTGCAAAGTTTCAATTTTGTATCTTTAACCATTTTTTTATAAAAAAAATTAATAAATGGATAAACAAAATGGTGGCTGTCTCAGTAACTAAGTGAAGTGAAAGGTAAAACTCACACCACAGTTAAACATAGATACTTTATTAGCCAAGATCCCAAAAGTAAGTCCTCAAGCTCAAAACAACAATACAATAAAAACAAACATCAAATATGCAACATATGATAGCAATTATAAAAATACCAAACAGCACATCTTCTCTTTTCTCTTTTTTTTTAGTTTATTTGTAAAAATCTGAATCACTGTATCTAAGAGGTGGTTTTACACTTCTTTTAGGTCTGTCATTTTCATTGCTATTGTAATTATGTCCAGCATCAGTTTCAGTTCCTTGGTCTTCTTGGTATTGGTGTTCAAATCTATTTCCACCATTTTCAATAGGCCTATGCACAGCTATTATATGTCTCCTGTTCCTTCTGATCGTCCCTGCCTGTGTATTTATCAGGTAGGACCGAGGATGATTTGATTTATTCTCAACATGTCCATAACGTTTTAAATCTGGAATCCAAACTTTGTCATTTTGATCAAGCTGTGAGAGATCTCTTACACCTTTCCTTACATCGTAGTTTCTCTTATTTCTTTCCTTGATTGAAAAATCCTTCTCTTTAAACTTTTGCAATCTTTCCCTTGTTACCTGTCTGAAGTTATTTATTGACGGTAATGTTGATCGGAGCTTCCGTGAATAAAGTAACTCTGCAGGTGAGAGACCAGACTCTAAGGGTGTATTTCTATATTCTAACAATCCAAGATTTGGATCACTACATTTCGTTAGAATCCGCTTCGCTATGTCAACTGCTTTTTCTGCTTCTCCGTTTGATTGTGGATACCTTGGGCTTGATGTCACTATACGGAAACCATATTCTTCAGCAAAATTTTTAAAATCCTGAGAAGTAAATTGCGGACCTCCATCAGCTCTTACCACATATGGTACTCCATGTCGAGCAAATATATTTTTCAATCTAGCAACCACAGCTCCAGTAGTCAATGCATCCACATAAACCAGTTCAAGAAATCTAGAATAGTAATCTTGCACAACTAAATACCATTTTACATTACATTTCAAAAGATCAATACCTAAAGACTCCCAGGGATTTTTTGGTAGTTCAGTCAACAGTAATGGTTCTGATTTGTTACTTCTTTGCTCCAAGCAAACTGGACAATTTGTTACAAGTGTAGCAATATCTGTTGAGCAGCCAGGCCACCACACCGATTCATACACTCGCCTTCGACATTTGACAATTCCCATGTGACCTTCATGTATTTTACTCAGTATTTCCTTTCTCAACGATTTTGGAATAAACAGTCTTGTGCCTAAAAGGAGGAATCCTTTACTGATGTTTAGATCAGTCCTGTACTTCCAATACACCGAATTTTTATTCCAATTGTTATTCACAATCCAGGATTTAATTCTTCCGCATTCCTCATCAGTATCCTGAGCTTCTTTGATTTCCTTGAGCCTTTTGTCAGAACAAGGAATAGCATCTAAAATACTCTGAACAAACAAATCTTGTTCCAATATGTCTTCATGTTCTTCATTTGACTTAATGGGGTTCCTAGACAAAACATCTGGTACATAAAATTCCTTTCCTTTCACATATGTTACTTTATATCTAAAACAAGCCATTCTCATTCTTAACCGCTGAAGTCTTGCCGATAAGCTAGCGATTTGTTTACTTCCAAGCACCTGAACTAAAGGTTTATGGTCAGTCATAAGTTCAAACTCGGTTCCTAAAACATACTGTGAAAATCTCTCACATGCCCAAGTCAGTGCCAGTGCCTCCTTTTCTATCTGAGCATAACGCATCTCTGTCGGTGATAAAGATCTCGATGCATAGGTGATTGGTTTCCACTTTCCATCCACAAATTGTTCAATCACCCCTCCTAGGCCAAATGACGAGGCATCAGCTGCAACTCTGGTTTTACGATTTTTGTTGTAAGACACCAGAACTGGATTTGAAGAAATTAGGGATTTAATTTTATCCCAAGCACTCTTTTGAACGTCAGACCAAACCCACTGATAACCTTTCTTAAGTAAAATTCGCAATGGAGCTGTAACTTCAGCCAAGTTAGGAATAAACTTCATCAAATAATTAACCATGCCAAGAAATTGCCGAAGCTCGTTAACATTATTTGGGGTTTGCATTTTCATAATGGCCTCCACTTTCTCAGGATCAGGCTTTATCAATCCATTTTCAATCAAATGTCCTAGAAATTTAATTCTGTTCACATTAATGTTACATTTATCTTTATTAAGTGTAACATTGTGTTCTCTCAATCTTTGTAATACATTTGCTAGTCGATGGTCATGTTCTTCCTGTGTTCTACCGACCACAAGTATATCATCTGCTTGGTTTACTACCCCATCCAGTCCATCCAAAACTTGGTATATCCTCTTCTGGTAAACCTCTGGGCCAGAATTAATACCGAATGGTAACCTCTTGAAAAAGAATCGCCCAAAAGGAGTTATAAAAGTCGTAAGCTTGTAACTTTCATGATGTAAGGGAACTTGAAGAAATCCATTTGTAGCGTCTAGTAATGAAAATATTTGTCCGCCTTCTAATTTACTTAGACTTTCTTCTACAGTTGGTAGTTGCCACCTTTCTCTCTGAATGCTTTTGTTGAGTTCGGTATAATCAACACATAGCCTCACTCTATCACCTGTCTTACGCGGTACAACAACAATTGGTGCACACCAGTCTGTTGGTTCTACCACTGGCTCAATTATTCCCTCAGAATGCAGTCGATCCAATTCTTCTTTGACTTTGCTCAATAATGGAGCGGACACTCTACGAGGGGCTGCCACAGCAAAGGGACGAGCATTTTGTGTTAGTGCAATTCTGTAGTTTTCCCCTTTCATTTCACCAATAGAACCAAAAACATCAGAAAACTGAGAAAATATTTGGTTAGAGAAAATCGAATCTATGTTGAACTGAATTAGGTTTAATTTCAACATTGCATTTCTACTTAAAAGTGGAGTAGGTTGTTGCTCAATGACGTAAATATCTTCTACAATAGATTTATTTCTAAAAACCAAAGTAGCAACGATCTTACCAACCACTTTCAACCTAGTTTTCCCCGGACCAAATAATATTTTACTTGTTTCACTCGTTTCCAGTTTTAATTCCTTGCAAAGATCATATCCAATTATAGAAACATCTGCTCCAGTGTCTAACTTAAAATAAATATCATGCCCCTTGACATTAAGTTTTACTTTACAAGGATTTTGTCCTCCAACCTCTTCTATGGTCAATTCCCCTAAATAGGTTTTAGGTTTTTCTAATGGTTCATTACTTTTATTAATTTCTCTCACTTCAAATCCTTTGGTACAACATCTCACATAGTGTCCCTTTATTCCACATCTGAAACATGTAGACTGATTGGCAGGACAATCATTGCTATTGTGATGACCAACAAATCCACATTTGTTACATTTACCTTTCTTTGAAAAGCTTTGATCTTGACTTTTATTGCAAGAACTGTCCCTAAACCGATGTTTAGTGGATTGATTAATCCCCTTATTGACAAACTCAATTTCTGGTGATTCCCTCACTACTTTTTGTTGTTGTTTTAAACTCTCTGCTTGTCTTGCTTTCAAAATTGCTGTACTTAAAGTTAATTTTTCATCCAACTGTAAATTTTGAGAAAGTTTATCATCATTTACCCCAATTACTATCAAATCTCTAATTAGTTCATCTTTTAATTCTCCAAGTTTACATCGCTCTGCCAGTTTGTGTAAACTATTTATAAAAGAATCAACAGGTTCCCCCTCAGACTGACGTCTTTTTAGAAATTTAGCTCTCTCATATACAATATTGATTTTGAAACCTAAGTAAGACTCAAATCTACCCTTGACAGTGTCATAACTCTGTAATTCTTCATCTTTTAATCCGAAAGATGTTAGAAGGTCTTCTCCTTCATCTCCTAGACAGTATAAAAGCATATTAACCTGATTTTCCCCACTCTTACTGTCTAATCCTGAAGCTAATCTAAACCTTTCAAATTTTCTTATCCATCTAGGCCATTCAGAAGGTTCCCTGAAATTGAAAGGTTCAGGTGTGACAAGTTGGTATTGAACTGTACTAATTGTACTACTCACTGCTTCAGCCATTCTTAGTTCTTTCTTCTCCACAAAAGTTTATTTAACCTGACACCATGAAGTGAAAGGTAAAACTCACACCACAGTTAAACATAGATACTTTATTAGCCAAGATCCCAAAAGTAAGTCCTCAAGCTCAAAACAACAATACAATAAAAACAAACATCAAATATGCAACATATGATAGCAATTATAAAAATACCAAACAGCACATCTCTAAGGACTTCCAGACAATTTAAATATGATATTTAGATAAGTTTTTTACTCAGAAACAATGCCCTAAAATATTGGTAGAAAGTTCTGGGGACACCCTGAATATCATTGAAATGGGCCAAAAACTAATCACTATATTTTCATTCACAACTATTTAAACAAGATTAACTTTTACCAATTTGCATGAAATTTTGTTGCTAATTTTAACAAAAATTTTAAGGGAACCCACAGTATTAGATTGGTTTTGTTGTATTTGTATGTGTTGTTTCAGAGGTAACGAGTCAGCATTCCTGATATCTCCGAGATACCAAAAGCTCAACATGTTAGGTCTCGGCTACAGCGTGGGAACTCCCGAAGAAGGCATCACTGCTGATGTTTTAGTTGTCAAGTCATTTGATGAATTGCACGAACGAGGCCCTGAGGTGGGTGTTCAACAACCAATCATAAGATCACAGGTCGATCCTGAGGAAAGTCAGTACTTTTTGATGCTTCAAAACTGGACCCAGCACTTCTTGATCATTGAGCTTTACATGAAAACTCTTAAATAAAGAACCAGCTGATCTCAGTAACAACACATATCACTTAATTTCCTTCTACACTCACGCTCCATTTAGTTTGAGAAACATACACAAAGTTTGAGGCTCATGATTCCGAGGTATAACACCACTGAGTACAACACAACAGTACAAACATGACAATCATGTGTAAGAATTTCCTAGTCAACCATCAATACAGCTACTAATTGATTCCAAACTCAAACTCAAATATCTTTAGTTTTGACAGTCGTCACAAACTGCATAATAGCGTCAACCAGGGCCGGACTTACCTATGGGCGAAGGGGGCGAGCGCCCGGGCCCCCGGGCCAAGGGGGCCCCGCCAGGGGCCCCCTTGCTCAGTAGTTTTTATTAATAACTTCGAATTTTTTATGTTTTTTTCAATTAATCAGACATTTACCAAATGGCCTTCTTTGGAACAGCTTTATTTTTATTTTCGTAATCCTGTATTTAAGGTTATTGTTAAGTGCATTTTAAGGCATTACTAGGAATGAAATTCTTGACCCTAAGAGACTTTTCCTCAGAGTTGTACTGGGGCCCACGCTTAGGTCTGGTTTACATGAGCATATGCTAGGCTGTGACGGACAAGTTTCAGTTTCAATGAAGCCGCTCGCCCGAACGTACGGCCGCGGCGAATGAGTTGAAGGGGGTGGGGCAAAAATAGAATAAATATGAAAACCTCTTGTCTGACGTAGAACATAGCTTGTAAAATTGTGTTGTGTTAATTTGAGATTCACTGGAGTTCAAATACTTTAAAAAATAAAAACATTGCTCCGTTTATGTTTTATTAAATGTTATTCTTTTCTTTTACCTCTAAGTATATACCAATCAGGATTTGAAGGGGTAGAAGTATATTATCCGTTCAATTTAAAGGTTTTGTAAAATAGTACTTAATTAAGTTATGCGTCAGAATTTTGATCTCCAATTTAGTCATTGGAGTCAAAATCATACAGCGCCAGTAAGATTTTTTAAATCTATATAGGCACTTTACAACAACTATAACTATAGTCGTCTGATGTTAACAAAAAATTACATTTATTGAGCGTTGTCGACTGAAATCGTAAACAAGCGATAAGCAGAAGCAGCTGCAACAATAAAATGATAATGAGCTGATAAGGGATCCTGTCTATTCCTGTCTGTCTCACGCACGCGCATACACACACATAAAATGAAAATGCCTTATCGCCTATCCAAAACAATTTAAATCACTTTACTCCCATAGTTTGTCGTTGTCCTTTGAGACTAGTGGTCACGTCAAGTTTTAGTTTTGGTTGAAATGAAGTTTTCAAAGCTGAAGTGAGTAATGTTATATTCAATGCTATGTTTGTGTTTTATTAATCGATATTGGATCCATTTAAACATATCTTTCAGTTACTCATATAAATAGTTAGCTTGTGAGCGTTTATTAGACTTTTATTGCAAGATTGCAAGATTTTTCTCGTTAATAAAAAACTCAAACTTGAAAGTCCTTAATGGTAGGCTACTTTCCATGCTAGGACTTTAACATATTATAAAAACGAGAATGCCATAGGTATCAAAACCATTATGAAAATAAACATAAGTCATATTTTATATCATTATGGTTTTTTTACGAAAAAAAAAACAAAATCTCTACAACCCAACAGTTGTGTTTTTGAGTTAATGAATCATAATGTTAAAAAACCTAGTTCCAAGCCTATTTTATTTGCTGTAGTAATTTACTTAGTAGTATACAAAGCTGACAAAATTTTGCCAATAAATTTCCTAATAAGTTACTCGCCGTTTGGAATATATGTAATTACAACGGCTATTCAGGGTCCATGAGAATAAAATAAAGTTCATGATTATTCATATTAAAGTACGACTAACAGCTAGGAGGCCTGGGGTAGGGGTACTTAAAATAGTAAAATAGTAATGCGTTTTATCAATCAAAGATTTGCAAATTTTTTAATTGTTTTCCAGGTCGATAAAAATCAAGTGAATTCTGGTTAGAAAGTATGATCTAAAAATGAAGCGAAGTTATCCTAGTGGTGCTCAAAAGCGTCAAAAATCTAAAAAAGAAAAAAGTTTCACTGATAATATACCAAAATTGTCATCTTTTTTTAAAATTTCATCAAGTCAATCTGACAGTTTGGAAAGTGGTGTAGCTTCTACTTCATCATTTGAACCTAACCAACATCAGAATCCATGTGACGATATAGACAGCTGCAGCTCAGCCAAATTGCAACTAATTACTGATGGAGCAAAACACGGTTTTTCAGACGCTGGCATAACTCCTGGTAAGGCATCAATTGGTTGTAAATCACCAGTAATAGAGACAAACAACGTAGTTTTGTCATCGTCACCAAACCTACCGAAATCACGTTTGCAATTAGTTCCACCAGCACAGGGTGAGAATGAACAATCGTGTACTCATATCCAAAATGATGATCAGAACCAACTGGAGGGTGAAGATCTCCCTAGCTTGGATGTTGCAATGTGGGATAAATTTTCAAAAGCTAAACTGCAAGAATATTTCATAACAAAAGGACCCTCTTGCTGTCAAAATCTAAATGCTGGATTCAACCAATCAGCCAGAGTATACGACCAAACCGGTAAACCCCCAGAAACAAGGAAATGTAAAACTAAGTTTTTCTACAGACACCTTAAAAATGGTGATAGAGTAAAACGAGATTGGTTGTTATATTCTCCATCAAGAGGTAGAGTTTACTGTTTTGTGTGTAAACTATTTGATACTTCATCAATGTCGTCGAATCCATTCTGTTATGATGGGTTCAATGACTGGAAACATGCTGCTGATAGAATTTCGGTCCATGAAAATAGCAAAAATCACCGTAAGTGCCTTCTAACGTTTTTCAAGCGTTCTTCTGAGGCTGGAAGAATAGATACGGAGCTTCAAATCCAAATTAATAAAGAAAAAGTTTACTGGCGAAATGTATTAACAAGAATAGTTTCGGTAGTTAGGTTCCTATCTGAACGTGGACTTCCTCTAAGAGGCGACTGTGAGAAATTCGGTAATGTGAATAATGGAAACTATTTAGGTGTTCTTGAATTGTTAAGCGAATATGACCCGTTTTTAAAAGAGCATATAAATAAGTACGGAGGTACTGGAAGTGGGAAAACCTCTTACTTATCCCACAAAATCTGCGATGAGTTTATTGATGTTTTAGGGAAGCAAGTGTTACAAGAAATTATAAAGGAGGTGAAGACATCTAAGTATTACTCCTTCTCAGTAGACTCAACACCAGATGCTTCACATATGGACCAGCTAACTTTCGTTATTCGATACATGAAATCGGGTGAGCCAAAAGAAAGATTTTTGAAGTTCATTCCCATTTCTGCACATACAGCAGACCACCTCTTTCACGAAGTTACTGGACTATTAAATGCAAGTACGATACCCATTTCAGATTGCCGTGGACAGTCTTATGATAACGCCAGCAACATGAGTGGGCGTTTTAATGGCCTCCAAGCAAAGATAAAGGCAATAAATGAATTAGCCGAATTTATACCTTGTTCAAGCCATTCATTAAACTTGGTTGGAGTTTCAGCAGCAGAGTGCAACTCAGAAGCTGCTAGATATTTCCACTTCGTCCAGTCAATTTACGTTTTCTTTTCATCTTCTACTTCGAGATGGAGAGTTCTACTAAATAACCTTAAAGGTAAACAAAAAGTTGTAAAGGCTCTGTCACACACAAGATGGTCAGCTCGAGCCGATGCGGTTTTTGCAATAAAAGATAACTACACAAATATACAATCCGCACTAAAAACGATAGCTGAAGACCTTGAACAGTCAGCAGACACAAAAATACAGGCGTCTGGATTACTGAAAACTATGGATCGTTTTGAAACAGTATTTCTAACTCATGTATGGAATGACATTCTGGCCCGGATTAATCGCGTAAGCAAAATATTGCAAAAGCCCACTCTAACTCTTGCAACCTCAGTGACACTCTTAAACTCGTTGATTAAATTCATCAACCAGAAAAGAGACAGTTTTGACAGATACCTCACATCAGCTGAAACAGCGATAGGTTTGAAGTTTGAAGATTGTAGGAAGAAGCGTACTACAAAACGCAGTTCTAGGCTTGCATTTTTTGACAACCCTCAAACCCCAGAATCAATACACTCAGAAAAAGATAAACTGAAGATAGAGGTATTCTTACCAATCATTGATTCCATAAGTACACATCTCAAAGAAAGGTCATCAAAATATGACATCGTAGCAAAGAGATTTGGTTTTTTAGAAGAAATCATTACTTTGAATGCGAAAGATTTGGAAGCTGCTTGTAGCACTCTGGCAGAAAAATATAAAACCGATATCAGTAGCAATGAACTATTAGAAGAGTGCTTACATCTCAAATGCTTTTTAGCAGAGGATCAAGAATTGGAACGATTGCTCCTGAAAGCCAATACCAATGAAAATGAAAGTGAAGATGAAAAAGACGAAACTGACTCGAACACAGAACTGCTTAACCAGGAAGATCACAGAGAAGAAGAAATGGATGTTGACGACCCAAACCCAATACCTGAAGTACGAAAAGAATTTGCTTTAAGCCAGGAAAACCCCTTGAAACGGACCATAGAAGAAGATGAATTAGATTTACTACCAGCGACGTCATCACGAAAACTAAATTTAAAGACGACATATAAATATTTACTTGACAATGGACTTATCTCAGTTTTTCCTAATATTGAAATTATTTTAAGAATATTTCTAAGTATGATGGTCTCAAATGCGTCGGCCGAACGTACATTTTCCAAATTGAAACTTGTTAAAAATTATTTAAGAAACACTATGAAGCAGGAAAGATTGAACTCATTGAGCATACTCAGCATAGAAAATGACATTTTGCGGCGACTTAATTTAGAAAAGGTGATCGAGGATTTTGCAGCCAAGAAATGTAGGAAACAAGAGTTTTAATTGCCAGGCCAGCGTATCACTCGTGTCAGAGTGGGAAGTGACATAAGGACAAATAGATAGAAATAACGATGTTCTAAACATTAGCCTATAATTATTATTCCATAAAAAGCAAACTCTAAACTTGTATCTTATAAAAGTATTAAAAGGTTTGTTAGTAAAATTATAGTAGTGAGTTACAAAAAAGTTAAAGCCTTAAAAGTGTATGCATTATTTTTTACTTACAAAACGTGTTTGAATATATTTATAGCTTATTCCATTATATCTTTAATTAGTTTTTTCATTTAAGCTCCAAATAGAATGTTTTTACAGAAAAACTAAATTTAATTTAAACCTTTTACAAGTGTGTGTCATTTTATTTTTATTTTATCTATAGTTTTTATTATTTGTTACAAAGGATATTTCATTTTAATGTATTGCAAAAAAATGTGTAAGGTAGGTATAATACATTTTATAAAAAATAAAGTTACAACAAAAAGAAACTTTACGGTACAGTACAATGTAGTTATTTTTAAACCAAAAATATTACATCAAATAAGTTTATGCAAAATACAGCATACTATTCTAACAGGTTTACTTATCATTTCACCTTTACATTGCTTAATTAAAATTAGTAAACATGTAATAGGCGATATATATTGTGTATTGTATATTCTCGTATGTTCATACTGGGGGAGGGGGCCCCATTGGCAAATTTGCCCGGGGCCCCTGAAGTCCTAAGTCCGGCCCTGGCGTCAACAAAATTTCTCTCAAACAAATCAAAACAATATTTTCTTATGGATAAAATCTAAAAACTAAAGATCATTGTTTTCTTAAAAACTAAAAAGTCTTCAACACTATAACAACAACGTGACAAAAGAAGCCTCTTAACCCCTTTGCCAAATTTGTCCACACTATTTCCATCTTCAGGGAAGTGGGCAGTGCATTGAATAGTTGAATGCCATTGTTGACTGTTATTATTCATTTATTGACTGTTATTGTAGACTGTTTATATTTAAAAAAAGCAGTTTTGAAAATCATTTATTAAGTCAAATTTCTTCCCTGTCAGTAAGAAATTGAACACAAAATAACTATTCATTGACATCTGAAGTAAAGAAAAGATAAGAGATAAGAGGTGATGTTTGAAGATGGAATTCTTAAACATGCTTAGAATGGTTGGTAGGTATATCAAAATGAGGACTTTAGCCTATTGAAAAAAAACAAATATAAAAGCTAAAGAATCCATGCGGTAATTACATTTGAGTTGTTCTTGTTTTGACTTCTTTAAAGTGAATAATCTGATTTTATCTCCGGGGTACTCATTTATCATAGAGAGCACAGACTAAGTATGTTGGTAGTCATGGATGAGGTAAAAACAAAACACTTGGATTTGAGAAATAAATATTCGTTTGTTTTGATTAATTTAATTCACATGTTCCAGCTGATTGAATAACGTAAATAAATATTTCAAGTTTAAATTACTTGCAGAATGATTTAATAGATAGTTTTTACAAAAAACTACTGAAAAATGAGTGATTTGTATAGGTACTTTCCTAGCGTAGTGGGTAAAAAAAGCTTTGAAATATGTAAATTGTTGAAAAATTAAGGAAATTATGGTCTACTGACAAAAAAAAACACTATAATATAATATATAGATTATTTTAATATGTACTATTTTAATTTTAATTTAAGTAATTACGCCATTTGAGATTCAATGTATAGAACGTGTGCCCTACTTAATGAATAAAGATGTTTACAATTCAATCCAATTATCTTTGTTAGTGAATAGAACAAATTTTACTCTATTATAATGTAAAGCTACAATATTTATAATCTTTCAGGCTCAAGGCAAGATTGTAGTGATCGCAGAGGACTGGCTCGGTAGCTATGGAGCAACCGTCAAATATCGAAGTTTAGCAGCGATAGAGGTAAGATGTAAACTATTTTAAATACGTTGTATACTACCCATTTTTACTATTTTATTTTACTACCAGAAAGTTTTATTTTTTTAACTAAGTTTTCTCATCTACGTTATCAGTGTTTTCCAGCAAGTTATAAATTTACAAGTCCACTAAAGGTAGCAAGGGCTCAGGCCCAACTTAAAAGGTTTAGGAATTAATCTCCTTGTTAACACATCAGGATTTTATTGTCTGTTTCCGGTGTCACAATTAATAAACCAAACAAAAATTTAGGACCGAAAATCTGAATTCGTTAAGAAACCAAAGCTATTAACAACTGAAGATACTCCTTTACAACGAGAGTTAAAAAGTCCCTCGAGTCAGTGCTCCATGCAGTAGTCTTTGGAGGTTATTGGCTATCACACACCATTTGCAGGTGCTAGGCATGAGGGCGCCTCACCTCTGCATATGTATCTATCTGTAAACATCATTACTCATATCTTTGTTTTAATAAGTGGGTAGTCGTGTCATTCTATCAGTGCAGTCTCGTGCCTTCGTGAAGTGGGTTCTGTTTTGATTTGCATTACAAATCTTTGGAAATATTTGGATTACAAGAAGCAGGTATTTACACCAATTTTATATTCAACGTAATCCGGAGGCTAACATCAACAATGAAATTCAAATACGGTATTATAAGATACAACAAATCAATAAAATATTATTCTAACTGGGCCAGCGTTACATATGGTGTTCCGGAAGGTTCCATACTTTTTTTAAAATTTCTGTACCTAAGATAAAACCTTACTTATGTGGATAAACATACTGGTACTATATGACAATATAAGTAGTGTCTTGATCAAATAACAATTAATTCAGAATGACTGTATTAACTTATATCACTCCTAATCGGTGCTTTGGTTCAGCTGTGAACTTATTATTTTATAAATACTGTTTTTTCTATTCACTTTTGCATACAATCTAGTTGTAATAATGAGACATAAACCATACTTGCAGGTAGCCAAAGTAGGGGGCGTGGCAGCTCTGATCAGGTCCATCACTCCGTTCTCCATCAACACTCCCCACACAGGCATGATGCATTATCAGGATGGTGTCACCAAGATACCTGCGGCAGCACTCACTGTGGAAGACACCCAGATGTTGTTGAGGATGAGTCAGAGAGGTAGGTTATTGTGATTACTCTAACCTGTTTTACTCAAGGTGTCACTTAGTAGAATTTGAAGGACAGGCGAGCCAGCTCCATTTAGAAAGTTTATTTAGGATTAAAATTTGTCGATCTAAAGATAGGATTGATTTGTAAAGAAGCTTTCTGTAGTCTTTTAGTCAATTAATAACTTAAGTCAATTTCAATTTTCAATTAAATTCGACATAAAACAATTAATTTTTTTTAAATGTTTTTGGTTAACTCAGGTTTTAGTGTTACAGGGTGCAGTTGAAAATGCTTACTTCCTGTATTAGTAAGTTTACAGGGTATGTCCCACTGATGCTTAAAAACCTAAAGGATTGTCCCCTAAACTTTGTGCAGGCACTCCTCTCAAGATCCAGCTCAAGATGGAGGCGAAGACGTTGGAAGACGTAGTGTCTCGCAACACAGTTGTTGAACTAAAAGGTACTCAGTATCCAGAGAAGGTGGTTCTAGTCTCTGGACATCTGGACAGTTGGGACGTCGGACAAGGTAAAACTGGTTTTGTCATTCCAATAAGGCTCTTTGGGCACAAGGAAACTCGGGCCATGAGCTCAGTAGTTTTCTAATATATACTAGGTGTAAGGTGTGCAGTTTCAGGTCTGCCAATTGAGTGGAGTAAACAAAGAAGTTAAAAAAAAATCTTTTATTTTAAATAACATTTGAATTTAAAAATATACTAATATAAAAACGTTTTTAATGATCAATACAATAGCAAACATTGATCATATAAATGTATAGGATTATACATCTATGCAAACTAAATATCCTTAAAATATCCCACACTCCGCACCGCCATTCTTTACTACTTCCTCCATCACTTCCTACGCCATGGACCTGTTTTCCTCGCTTCTCATAGCATTTTAGTATTGCAGCAGATAAAATCAGTAAGATAATGTACCTCTTAAATACAGTAGTCGCAATTAGTCCAGGCGCGCGGCCGCGCTAGGGCCTGGGGTGTAAGGGGGTGTGTTTATTGCTAATTTCCAATAACATCTGGGTTGTTAAGCTTTCTTCGTGGCTAGACGAGGTGGAAGGGGTGAAATGTACACAGGACGGCTAGTAGAGACGGAACCGTGCTCCCAGACTGCCCTGTAATAATTTCTCTGTATTCTTTGATCAAAGGTTGCCTGAGTGGTTTTTCCTTTGTGCTGTATTTAGATCGTCTATTAGATTGCTAACAAGCATATGCTATGATTCTTTGTTTACATGTATGTTGTTATCTCGTAACCATCATGGCAACTCATAAGGCTAATGCTAAAAACATTGCTTTGGTTTCAAATTGTACAGACATTATCAAATTGATATTAGTTTGTTTAATAACATGGACACTGTTTCTCAAAATAACCCTGGAAAGTTTAGATTAACTATGTTCAGCTTTTAATGAGTTAATTGATTACATAGTTTGCATAAGTCCGGTCTCAAAGAGCTTCGCTCGCTCCACCCAATTAGTCTGGATTGTACTTGGTTAACTTAAGCCCTAAGCCTATTTTTCATATTTTTCTGTGAATATTTTTATGATATTATGTCCTTTTATGTCTTTTATAATGAGTTTATTTTAACACGATGCGTCTGTATTTATCCAAAATAAAAGGGGAAAAAAGAAAAATCTGCGTCCTCCTCCTATTTACTAATGTTACGCCATATCTAAAACGCCAACCACAGCTTACTAGTCTCCAATGATTGTAACTGCAATTTCTTATCCTTAAAAGCTAGATTGGTGCAAGAGGGACTATTACAAAATTTTTTGACGAATTTTAAAAAAAATATAATCTTTCATCAAAATTAAAAAATGAAATAGTCATAAAAGTGTTAAAAGAATCATGTAAAATCATTCAAAATCATTTATATGGACAACGTTATTAATCTATGTTACATGTTATTTATATCGTAAATTTAAGTTTTTTTTTTACTGTGTCTAATAGGCAAAGTTTATTAATAAACTCAGTTTTCAAAATAAAATAACAATCGCATCTGTTATAGCCCAAGTCCCCACTTTTACAGAGAATTCATTATCAGACTTGATACTGACAACAATAACTTTGGGACATTTTCCCGTCTTCATTGCAGAGTAAAACCTCTGCTGGTAATAAAGTAGACATGTCGACAAGCATATAGCATTCATTCTCTGATAGCCCCTGGACTACGTATATATGAATTTTTAGGCTTACCACCGTCAGTAGCCCAAAAGTGTATCTAACTTAAATTATTCAAGGCTGACATGTTTCATCGCAATGCAACATCCTCGGTGCTCACATCAAAAACATTAAAATTTACATGTAATACAGTAAAGCTATATACTGTACTGTATTATGTGTAAATTTTGATGTTTTTGATGTGAAGCTCCGACGATGTTGCATTGCAACGAAACTATCAGCTTAAAATAATTGAAGCTAGGCACAGTTTTGGACTACTGACGGAGGTAAGCCTAAAAAGACAAGCATATGACCAGGGATAGCCCTGGAGATGGCTTTGCCAGTCATCATTTTTATGAAGTACAGTATTGGAACCGTTTATCTGTTGTATCAACACTTCCTTTGGTCCTGAACCATTCATTATTGTCCCAATTGAGCCCAAAAGATTTATGAGAGTATAGAAAGACCCAAGTGTTAACACTGTGTTCTTGAGTTTTTTGTAGGCTACTCATTTGTGATGCTTTCCAGTACTAAGGTTGGTTAAAATGAATAGAACCCTATGTAGGAATGTCGGTTGACGGGGTTTTAAAATAAATGGCTCTCAAATTAAGCAAAATAGCCTGGATTTAAAAATCTTTTTTTAGCTACTTTCCCTTGGTTAGATTTTTTCCGATTTTAAATACCAATTTGAATTCCACTTCAATCGCGTGAAGCCATTTTGCCCAGGTCATATTTTACTAGATTAAATAAAAACGGTACCGGTACCTATGCTAGTAGTCTTTAAATTACCATTTCTTAGAGAAATAATTAAATAGCTAATAAAAAGAAATCCCACAAAACCTATTAAAAATTAAATGCAAAGCAAGGTTTGTTAATATTTCTGTTGTTTTAGGAGCTATGGACGATGGAGGTGGTGCTTTCATTTCATGGGGTGCTCTGGCCTTGCTCAAAAGCCTAGGACTCAGGCCAAAACGCACTATTAGGTAATAACTTACTATCTTAGGAAATTGTCTTAGAAGGAACAATTTAGTTTGCATTGTAAGCTTAGGATTGTTATTAATTGCTCATGAGACTGTGAGGGACAAAACTGCATGCTACTGATTCAAATCTTCAAAATTAATAATTTAAGTAAACATATTTTTAGTGTAGACACACCATATAAAATATGGTTTGTCTCTAACAAATGTTGTGGTTTATGCACTTGTGGAGCTCAACCTCCACAGCCACTTGAATATCCCGCCATTAAGGTAAGAATAGTTTCTTAAGTCAAGCCATGCACCAACCCAAGACATGGCTGTGCACGGCACGTGAAGTAATTGATAATTGATCACATGAGGAAAGCGACAGACTCGGAGTTGGTGTGGTGGGTGCAACGCAACAGGAAACTTGGCTGAGTAACAGGTGCGGGGCATGGGGTAGGGCCCTAGTGAGGTATGGTGTTCAAAACATAAGTTAAGGTAAATTTCTCATATATTCATTTCTGGTTCAATAATTTATAATGTCCAAATTAACTTCAGTGTCAGTATTTCGATATCAATATTATCTAATTTAATGCTTCATGTTGTGTCCAGTCAATTTAAACGTTTTCACAAACTCATCCACACAGTGCATTAACTGTTCTCGCAACCGCATTGAACTTGTTTAATGTCCCTAACCTAACCTAACTGTGAACAGGATTTGTACATAACATTTCAACCAAAAAACATAGTGTTATTCGTGTAATGAGAGAGGCCCATAGGTTTATTAGGCTTTGATGAATTTTTATTGTTGATATTCCAGAGCAGTATTGTGGACAGCTGAAGAGGTAGGGCTAATTGGTGCTCAGGCGTACGCCAAGGCCCACCAGAACGAGACTCACAACTTCATGGTGATGATGGAGTCCGATGAAGGAACTTTCACCCCAAGAGGACTGGAATACTCAGGCTCGGACCAAGGTGGTTGCATCATCAAGGAAATACTCAAGTAAGTCATACGTTAAAGAAAAATAACCCGCTGCAGAAAACCCGCAGACTAAGCAAAATTCCAATTACCAGGCTGGATTTCTACTAAAATATTCCCTTAAAATCGTCAGAAGTATTTCCTAATTAAATAAAATTAATTTTTTAGTGAGTACTTAGGGTTTGCTGCTACAGGGAATGTATTGAGGTGTGTTTTTTTATTAAAATGTTGATAGCTTGTCCTATTTTGCTTGGAGCGATTGCAGCGATAGTCGCGTAGCGATAATCGCCCCGCGATAGAAGCTGGGCTCTGTTTTAACAGAGTTTGCGCTGTCCTGTTTTGCTTAGAGCGACCTACCTTGTCGCTACCTACAGTCGTGGACCACTGCCCTGGGTACCAGTCTGGAGATAATTGCGCCGCGACTGATGCGCAGCGACAAATGTGCCCTAATGAAAATGTTGAATCCAAATCTTGTTCATCAAGTTTTTTTCTAATTGCCTCATTGTGGATTCCAGATATTAATTTATCCCTGAGTGCATCCTTAGGAAAGGCTTTGAAGTTACATTTGCTCGATAAATGCCTAATTGCTACCATAAAATCGGCAATTCTTTCATTGGGATGCTGAACACGTGAGTAGAACGTGTAGCGTTCGGCTACCACTAACCTTTTTGGAGAATAATGTGCTTCCAACACCTTTAACAGATCCTTATAATCTTTGGAATCTACCGAATCTGGTGATACTAAGTCCATGAGAACAGCAAGGGCTTTTGGTCCAATTACAGTAATCAAAATGGATAACTCCGATCCTTCCTTTACGTTGTTGGCCTTCAAGTAGTGTTTCAGTCTCATTAAATACAACTCTTCATGAGGGTTAAACTCTCCCATACTCCCTATCGAACGGGACGTCATGGTTTTTCAAATTACTTTTCAACACTCCGCACTCTCCAAAAAGAAGTTTAACATAATTTACTTTACACCGACTGCACCATTGTGACATCTACTAAAACTACTAAGGAAATATGGCGACATCTAGATACACACCCTGCTAGACTAGAAGTGAAGATCATCTTCACGGAAATCTCCTTGACCGATCGGCAGCCAATCATAGAGCTCCACGCGGATGTAGACAGTGCAGCCACCCAGTAACTTAATACGCTTCCGGTTACTAACAATCTAATATGGTCCTATTACACTATATTACAATTGTAAACTTTTAAAAGATGTTACTTCGATGTATTCATTCAGCTTAGTGAAAACATAATAGAGCCTTTGAATAATCTATGTATATATTAATTACGTAAGCCGATTCTTTGCGTCAAAATTGTGGGTGACTGGGAAGTCGTAGAACGACGGGAGAGGGTTCAAATTAAAGGTCTTGATCCCGTGACGGCGGGAAAAATATAGAAATTCCCCAAATTTTAACACAAAATGGGATATATCTATCTATGTATATATTAATTACGTAAGCCGATTCTTTGCGTCAAAATTGTGGGTGACTGGGAAGTCGTAGAACGACGGGAGAGGGTTGAAATTAAAGGTCTTGATCCTGTGACAGCGGGAAAAATAGAGAAATTCCCCAAATTTTAACACAAAATGAGATATAACGTAAAATGTTCTCCATAAGAATAGCATTAGAAGCCATTTACTGCTGATTTTTGTTTACTTCAATACAGCTGATCGTGATTTATCACTAAGTTGGTACGCAATATTAACATTTGGATGATTTAATTGCCAGTCAATTCTGCAATGTACTATATAAAAAACGTTACCTAAAATAATGAAGACTTTTTAGTTATTACGTTATAGAATGTTGAAATAAATTATTTTACTGTGAAACTTTTCAAATTTGTGTAGAGACTTTGAATAATAATAATAATAATAATCTATATATTTAATACGCGACATGAAACTTTGTGAACAATAAGGCTTTTTTTTTGTTTTAAGATTTAACCCCACGTCTTATATACCAAAATGTTCGTCTAGGTGTGTAGATGTGCAAACTGGCTTTAGATTTTCGAAATATATCTTTTTAAGGGCGTGGGCGGCCCTTAAAGTTCCTTCCATAAGGATAACATTGTGATTGATTTGAATGTTATTATATTCTGAAACAGATGTCAATACATTAGTAAAAAAAAATTAAATCCAGCTGTTTTGTTTGGTTTTGAAATTTAAACAGGTACTTACGTATTATACGGAGGCCACTTATTTTACAGCGCGCTGCGGCGGTTAGGTTAGGTTGGGTTATCATAAGTTTTTATGACTCATCTCGTATAGTTCGATTCATAATGAAACTAGGAAAGTTCTACAAACATATTTATGGTAACCCAACTTAACCCAACCGCCGCAGCGCGCTGTAAAATAAGTGGCCTCCGTATAATACGTAAGTACCTTTAAACAGTTTGCATTTTTTTTTATTAGAAACCCGGCAAAGAAATGTTACTTATAGGACACGACGGGAGAAAAGTTTTACATTATATTTTCGTTTAAACATGTCAAGGACCCGACGACAAAGAAATATTGCCGGTCGGACACGGCGAGTCAACATACGGCAAGCAATCCAAAACGCAAGGAGCGTAGACGAGGAGCTGGAACAGTTAGTGGCAACGTGTACTTACAAAATTACACTGACAAACAAGAATTCAGCAGTATTCACTTGGTGAGATGGCATTGGTGGAGGGTCTTTCATGTATAAGGTGCATAACACAATTTATCACTCAATTGGCACCTTTCAACCGTCAGAAGGGGGGCATCCCACATATGCATTGGCACCTTTCAACCGTCAGAAGGGGGGCATCCCACATATGCCCAAATTTATATCTACGGGCGTCGAAACCGCTGTTCAAGAAAGAATGCTAAACAAAGCTAATGGTTCTTGCAGCACTGAACTGATGCACATTTTGACTCATCATTTGGTTGATATTAATCCATACGCGCAAGTTTTCAGCATGATGAGCTCCGTCCTGCAAAATACTCCTACTGAACAGCAAAAAGAACTTAGAATGCATATAGCCAACAATATACAACGACGCAACTTCTAACGACGTTGCTATATAGGTCTTGACAGATATAGGCAGTAGTGGCCTATTACGGACCTTAACCCACTTGGTTTGCCTTAAAGTGACATTTGTGAAAATAACACTACACTTCGACTGTGAAACAAATTTCACAAAGAGTAATTCCAACCATATTTTGTAACCAACGCAATAGTCATTATTTTTTCTTCACCTATTTATTACTCATTAATTAAACAATGCTAAATGCTCACATTTTTTTATAATTTCACTCTTTTTGTCACAGTTAGAAGAATTGTCGTAAGCCTTTAAAGCAACTGTCGATTTCGACAGGTTACACCTAGTATAACTAATAATGATATTGAAGAATATCTAACAATATCAAAACACAAAGTAAATCAGTCCTTTGTCTTATCATAAAATTCTCTAAAGATTTTCTTTTTTTCAGATTGATGAGCCCTATTAAGGCAACAGAGTTCAAAAACAGTTCAGACGTTGGATCTGACATAACTGTGTGGGCAAACCAGGTGCCACTGCTGAGCAACTTGAATGACAACGGGAAATATTTCTGGTTCCACCACACAGACGCTGACACCATGTCAGTGATGAACTCGGATGATTTAGACTTGAATGTTGCTTTGTGGGCTGCCACAGCCTTCGTCATTGCTGATATGAGTGTGGATTTGCCTGGAGTGGGTTTGCCACAGCAAAATGTGACTGCTCCTATAGCATGAAATGTTAAAATGGATATGTCTTTAAATTTTTTGACCAATATGATGGATACATTGTTAGAGGTTATACTGATTGATATTTTTTACCTGTAAAATTTAGTTATTGTAAGTGCCTTATTAGCTTGTAAGATCAAGTGTACAGTGTAATCTGATTCTTGTATAAATTTTTAAAACATTTTATTCTAGTTGATTTTTTTCCATTGAAGGGTCTTACCTTGATAACGGCAGCAGCAGCGCCGATATGATCCTCTGGTGTTTCTTTGTCTGTAGTGGAAGTTGAGTCTGAATTTGACTCATTTATGTCAAGTGAGTGAGTGACTTTGATATGACTTTTCAAAATCCCTCTATTTAATTCAAATGTGTCAGCTGGCGCAAGGCCCTATTCCATACATTGGCTTATCGCTTGCTGCACATTTAATTTACTGATCCAAGATACGCCTGGTGATGGATGGCTGTCCCACTAATGTGGTACCTTAGACGGTTCATACATATTTTTTTTTTTTTGCAACTTATAAATTTATTCACAAAATGATACTGTTAGGGGGCATTGGGGGTTCGATATCTATCACTCTCTTAGCTTATAATTTACTTTTTCCTAATAACTTACATAAATAAATAACAATTAAATTCACAAATATAAATTAATTACCACAATTAATAAACAATCATTGGATAAATTTTTCCTACTCATTTTAGGCTATTTGACGAAATTGAACACTGACTTTTGGTTTCCTCTATGAATGTTGTCAACCATTGTGTTTATAAAATTTATGAAAGTCTTGTTCGGTGTGTAACATATTTTGTATTGAAAAAATCCTAGTACTTTTATTATTCAACTAGCTGTACCTGCGGGCTTTGCCCCGTTTAACTTCATAAGTATTCGCTTGGCTCAATCACGTCCTGGTTGAATATTGTTCGCTACGCTAACTAGCCTCCAGGTTGAAGTTTGTTCGCTACGCTCACTCACCTTTTGGTTGCAAATTAGCTGTTGTCATAAATTTAAATAAATAATAGTGCTGCACCCTGTTGGTAATCCTTGTAACTTTAATGCTATTGAACATCATAGAACAGAACCAACTTGTTTAATTGAAACAGCTGTTAAGATTCATTAATTCCTTTTAAACATGAAAAATCATAAGGTTAACATGGGAAAATCCACAGCCACTGGGGCGGAGCCCGAAAGCCCGATCAGAATAAAAACTACTTAGTTTTCCTATTTAATGCCCAAAGAATCGGTGTACTGAATTTCAGCGTCCTAGGTAAGTGGGAAGTGGGAGAATTAGTGATGAGTGAGGGCTTTGCCTTTTATATATTTAGATGTGCTTAAAAACATGTTAAATTTCTTAATCTGTTGCACTTTTGAATGTGTGAATTGTGCTCTTAGTGTACGCCGGAAGCTGTACTATTATCATTATAATACCTGGGGAATTCTTCCTATTGAGTTTTAACAAGAAGGATTTGAATTGGATACACATTTTTTTACCATCATTGTCCTTAAAAATGTTGTTACTGAATACAACTCAGCAACTTAATGTATACAATAAACCAACCTTATACAATAAATAATGTTAAAAGGAAAAAAATATTTAACCACCAGCCAGAAATCTACGGACCCTGTAGCAACATCTCGAAAGTAACATGGACTTAGGGTTCTCTTGAATCTAAGCTGGTCTTTCTCTAACTTAACTTAAGATCAATGGGTAGACTATTGAAAAGTTTAATTCCGTTGTACAAGAGGTGATGTTTAAAAAAGGTCGTGGAGTGTTTGGGAATTTTACAATTGATCGCGGAGCGCAAGGGATAAATGCAGGAATGAGAGCCGACATGAAACTTGGAAAGGTTTTGCCTGACAAATGTCAGCATCTCAAGGATGTAGATGGAAGGAAAGGTTAAAATTCCAGATTAGCTGAAAACCTCCTTGCAAGAATGGAGACGAGGGAGAGAGAAAATGGTTCTTACTGTGTTCTTCTGAAGCCTAAACAAGAAAAGTGTTCTTTGATTTTCAGCAGCAGTACCACAAATCAGTAGAGCATATGAAAGAAAAGCACATCACTTCCGTGATCACCGGCCAATCTTTATTTTTTTTTTATATTTTAAATTTGATTCCTTGAAATATACAAGTCTCACTTTGTTTGTTGTAAATATAATTTTCTGTTTAAAAATTGACGCATTTAATCCACCAACGCAGCCATGGTAAGGTACTTACTTTCCGTGTCCGGAAATCAGACTTCGCTTTTCCAAAAATTCATTCGCATGTAAAAGATCATCTAATGTGCAAGACTGGTCTAGGCGTGGGCAGATCAGCAGATGGCTAGGATCCTAACAGCACCACCGCGCACAAGATGTTTTCTTCGTTATTGGTAAGGTAAGAGACCCCATTTCTGCATGTCTGTCTTGCATTTTGGTACCTCGACCCTAATTCGATTTAGGGTCTTCCACACCGTGTAATGAAGGCCTCCACCAGGAGCCAGTTCCTCCATGGCTGGTATGGGAGGGTTAGTCAACGTGGCCTCCCACCTTGCTACCCGATTGCTTGAGAGTGATCCATCCAGGACTCGTGTCCGTGATAAAAAGCTCTTTCTGCACCGAAGCCGTCGCTCTGCAGGTTGGTGGCCGTGTAATGAGTGACGAGGGTCTGTCTCTTGCTTAGTCCTTTCTGCGTCGGCAGCGAAATCACGTGGATTGATGGAGGGGCGATCCCTATGATAGGATAGAGTTTGTGTGCTGGGGTTGGTTTCAAACACCCAGTTACAATCCGAGCCATGTCACAAACAGTTCCCACAGTCCGACTGCAATGTCAACCTTTTTTGCATGTGACGATGCATTCCATACTGGTTCAGCGTACTCCGCAGCCGACACACTGAGCGCTAAAGCTGAGGTTTTGAGGACATTAGTGTAAGCACCCCAGCATCTGCTGGTGAACTTCCTGATGATATTATTCCTCGCTGAGACTTTACCTCTTGTCGCAATACATGGTAAGGTGCACTTTCATCATTTTGTCTATGTTTAATAAAGCCACCATGCAAGTTCATCATAAGGACCACGGTATATAATAATTATATGGATTGGTTTAGTCTAATATTGGTAATAATGCATAGTCATAAATTAAAGTATATATAATAAAAAATTTAATCGTGTCTTCTACTACCATAAATATATATTTTGAACTTCTATCAAAGAATAAATCATTTATTCTATGGTTCTGTAACTCGTTATATCCAATCTCTGCTCGTCTGTAGTCTGTACTAAATCTGATGAGTCACAAAAAGAGACCCATGCTGTCACAGCTGTCAGCCAGACCAGAGCGAGAGCAACCAAAAACCAAACCAAGCCAGAAGCCGAACCAAACCCAAAAACCGATACAAAACTCGTCAGCTTCAACGAATCCACTGTAACTTATTAACTTATTGTCGTGTTTTAACTTAAATTTAAGCATTACTTAAAAATTTGTGGATTTAAGAGTTGCCACAACAAGTTATTTCGAATAAAGGAAGTGGAGTGAAGTGTGTCATAATTTGTATGCCGACGTCAAGAAAGCTAGCTGTTTAGAGAGTTAGGAGCCGATTAGGCTCACGATTGTTAGAAAATGGATAGCAAAGGAAGAAAAGTAATCGTATGCGATAACGGCACTGGCGTGAGTATCTAAAAGATTTTAACATATTAACTTATATTCTAGGCTTAGGGAGGTTAGGCCTAATATATCTTTCCATTAATCATTAGTAGGCCTAGCCCTAGCTGCAATTTTACTGAGAAATCCTAAGTTACTAGGCCTAGGCTAGAATAAACTGCCAACACAGTGTACCCTTGTGAAATTACAATTTCCATTGAATGTGTACGGTACCTAATAATTTCTGTTTAAGTCGTTTTTAGGCATTAGACCTACGTAAGTTTACCTACCGGTACCAAGTTTCGTAAATTAAAATTTAACATAGGCCAACCCTACTTTTAATATACTCAACGCAGGGGCGGCGGAAAGATTTTTGTTAGAGGACAGAAACCTATGGTGGTGGTCTAAACTTAGACCCGGGGGGTCTGGGAGTAGGCCTAGTAAAATATTAAAGCCTTAAAACATTTTTTTAAGGCTTAAAACGTCCTGAAGAACATTCTTCTTCAAGCAGTAACAAAGAGAATTTACAATTTAACAAAGACACTACCTGCTCTGTCCATTGTAAATCTAGGCCTATATAAGTTAGGCTACCGCAGCCTTAAGTTAATACCCACACGTCTCAAACAAACATAAAATGAAGTTACTTGTGTCCGAACTTCAGTCTTTGAAATTCCCAAAAACTGCACAGCGATTTTCAACTCTATTTTTTATAACTTATGTAAGAATTCCCCTTACCCTTGACCCCCCGGTTCCGCCGCCACTGACTCAACGTTCATTAAGTTTATTTCTCATTGAAACTATGAGCAGCTGCACTTTAGTTTACAACCCACATCCACTCGATTATAACTATTGATATATTGGTTACTGTAAGTTTATTTCATTTGATTGTAAGTTAAATATCCAATCCATATCCCTTTTATTTTAATATCTTCAATCACATTTGAATTACAAATTGACAACTGATCTTGTTCAGGCAAAAACAACAGTGTCTCAATATTTCTACTGACAAAAATTCAAGCTCTAGGTTTGTCACTTTCAGTATCATATATCAACTCACCTTTTGCCTATGTGGTCAGCAAGGATCTTCTGGCAAAGCGTAGCCTACCCATAGCCGTTGTGCTGGAGATTGATCAGGAGCACCGCACCATCAAAAGGGGATCTTTGCTCCCATGCAGGCTGAAGGTAGAATAAACTGCCTGCAAGCACTTATTCTGAACATATGCTCTCGCAGCCCAGGAATGGGCACATCGCAAGAGACTTCAGCTTCTGTTTGGAGTTTTCATCAATTATCATGACCAGAAACTGTTCGCCAGGGTTTGAGTTTCCCTCAACAACTAACTGCTAAGTTGTCCGTGTCGAGGTCATTATGCAGCTTGAGGCCCTGCATCACGCCCTTCTTGTTCATTGCCCCCGTTGAGGTGGGAACAAATGCTGATACCTTCATAGCTTTCACAAGCTCTCTGTCTGGAGCAAGCTGTAGCGAAATTCCCTCGAAGGGACTCAGCTCCTGAACTTGCTTGACCAGCCAATCCTTGGTGGCTGCGTTAGCACAGCCAACCACCAAGGCTCCGCCTTCAAAATGGCAATTGCTTATCCTGACGTCTTTGCCACAAATGACCCGCCTCGACAGCTCACCCTTGATTTTGTTGGCTTCAGCCTCTGTCAGATTCCTTTCCGGGTGTTCAGATCTGGCGATGGCCATCTTCTCCACTGACAGTGTCTCCAAATAGGTAAGTGCCGTGCTCTCTTTTAAACACCCGACCCCTCTCCCTCTTTCTTCCTCGTCTTCTTTTTCTCGCCCTGCTTTTTCCCAGCATCCTGGTTCCCGGAGGATCTGGCCTCGCAAGGAGCAGGGTTCGGGTGCTTGGCAGCCTATGCCAACCTCCTCTCACTTCTGGATAGCATCTTTTCGCCTTTGGCTAAAGCATCCGCTATCCTCCGTCTTCGCAACTCGCCCCTGGAAAGTCATTTTTTTCGTTTCTTTCCGGTCTCCGCAAGCTTGTTGTCATTGTCAGATTTCAGTAGACCTTCCTCCTTCAATGGTGTCATTTTTTTAACCTTGGTGCGTTCCCCACTTGTGTTGTTCACAAATAAAACTTGTAGAAATTGGCTTAGGCCTACAGGTATGAAATAAATCAATATTATCTACCAACATTACCCTGATAATAAAAAACACCAAAAACAACAACAAATGTTTTAACAATTTAATACAGAAATACTATCTTTGTTAACAATGGTCTTGTGTCACCTGGTATTGAATGTGTTAGGTAAATATAATATTTGCCAAATTGTATCAGCAGGCCTAACTAACATCCAACACATGTTTTTAACATTGTTAAATGTGTTACAGTTTGTGAAATGTGGATATGCTGGATCGAACTTCCCTGAACATATTTTCCCTTCAGTGGTCGGTAGACCAATTATAAAAGCAGTAAACAAGATTGGAGACATTGAAGTTAAGGTAACTTGAAACTTAATTAATTCTGTGGATTTCTTTAAAATTCTAAACAGAGTTGTCTATTTTCTCCCATAGGTATAGGCCCTACTATTAATTAATTATTACATCCAGTTCTTCCTTGTGATTTTCATAAACTTAATAACTTTAAGTGTTTTTAGCTTCATTCCTGGAAATTTTCCAAATAGGTAGGCTATTTGATTATACTTACATTATTAATATTGGAAGGCTAAGCAAGGGGATTTAATCCAACAGGTGTGTCGGTCGGTAAACATACCTCTGTTTTACACATTTATCAGTTGATCGTTTTAATTGAAGTGCTTAACTTAAGCTAGTTTAATTCGACAGGCCAGTCAAAACCATAATTGAGGATATTTAAATTGAAGGGAACCTTATAAATGTACTAACGGGCCTACATTGAAACATTTGGGTCTCACTCACCCAAAGAATGGGCTGTTTCTTTTTTTGTCCACTCCATTGGAATTTTTTCAGAGGAGAAGAGAGAGAGAGTGTGTGTTATTCAAACGCGTTTGTTTGGGAAAGTGGTCTAAATCTATAGTTTGTAGTGGCGTTTTTCATCAAAAAGCTGAATTTCTTTGTTTTATAGAATATGAACTAAGTTTTGTGTATTGATTTTTTAACAGGTTGCGTAAAGAACCCAGCAAAGCCACTAAAAATTTAGTTTGTTTACTATTACTTTGATACAATTTTTAATTTTATTTTATTTACAGGGATATTGTGTGAGAGTAAGGAACTTAATGTGTAAGAACAAATGCATGTGTAATGTTTTTCATGGAGCCTTCTTTTACTAACACCATTAGTTTTAATCAATATTTTTTATATGCTTGGTAATAATATGAATTAGCATACATTTTTGTAATAACCAATTTTAATAGGATGTGATCAGTGTGGTAAATTTTTACAATTTACTCAGCTTAAAATAAAAATAAAAATGTGTGCAACAAGTTAAATTATGAGTTAGAATAGGTCTTCAAGAAACAGGTATGCCTACATTTTTTCAGTGGCTAACTCAATTTAGATAACAAAAAATAGTGTTTTTGTGGGCCTACCTGCCTTACTGGTACATGCAAGTGTTAGTTTACTCTATTTAAGTACGTTGCTCAATAGCGTTTTACAGTTATCTAGCTGGCCCGTGCGAAACATTCACTCTGAATCCTTCTGAAATCCCGCTTACACAACATATAGTTTATACTGCGTTGTAAGTGCATTGTTGATTTAAGTAAGGGTCTACTTCAGGAATAGATGTCATTTTACATTTTAGACACCTAATTGACTTTTTCAAAATACAATAATAAGTTATTTACATTTTAACATGTTTACAGGAAGTTGCAGGATTTTTTAAAGTTAATCTTTGAAGTAATAATTTGGTCACATAATTTAGTTCTATACCCATGCAATCTAACATAAATTATTAAGTGAATAATAATCGTGCGTACTATCTCAGGTATTCAAATGCCTCCCAATTTGTCATTAACCAACCACATTACTGTCATTAAAAGAAGGAACTCCAATAATACTAATGTGAAACTTAAATCCACCCAATCTGTGCAACAGAACCAGACTGACGATTACCAAAAATGACAACAAACTTAATCGAAGCAACAATCATCAGTTTAAAGGAGATAATGGTCTTAATCCCAAGTATATCAATGATTTAATTCGAATTGCCCTTTGAATTCAAGCGACTACAATTTCCTTTGCGTCTTGCTTTCTTTCGCAATCACCATTTTAAGACACAAGGGCAGTCCCTGACTATCACCGGTTTAAATTTAGAATTGCATGCTTTTCACACTGACAGCTGTATGTTGGTGCTCTTGTGGTAGGTACGCCTAAAAACTTATATTTATACACCTAATGAAAAAACAAAAAACATTGTTTATCCACTGGCAATTAAGTAAATTAAATATACTATTTTTGTTTTTGGTATACATTTTTATTATTTATCGTAATGAACAAATTACCATTTAAAATAATAGTTGTTAGCGGAGCAAACGAGCACCGGGTAACTGCTAGTAATGTTTATAAAATATTATTTAATTAGTAGCTATACCACTACAATCTTCATGAATGGTAAATTTCTTTTTACTACGATCATTTTTGTGTATTTGAATGAATATTTAACAAAGAAACAAGAAATGTGCTTACTCTGTAGGTTTGCTGCAACATCGACTTTCATTCTAACAAAATAACAGTTTGGATTTTGATAATTTTTATTCAAACCTTCGGAAATAATAATATGTAGATATTAATAAATTGTTTGTGTTTGCTGTAATCAAGGGTTCACCATATTTTTTTGTGCTATAGTGTGAATATACAATTTATATCATATCACATTGATTGTGAAAGAATCTTTTTGTAACCAACTAATCTTCATGCACATCTGTTGTAACTTTATTAGCCTTCTTATCGTAGTCAATCTCGATTATTATATTTTTTACTTACATGCATGATTTCTGAATGTCTAAGCTCAGCTGAAAGCTTTCAATAAAGTATATATCTTATAATTATTTATGTGAAACACATTATAGAAAATACTAGAATAATAATCTAGCCTTTGGCCAGCAATTGCATTTTTCCGGTCTAATGTTTTGTTTGGTTCATGAGGGGTTGGTTGAAGGTGTCAAATTTGGGTTTCCCCATTGTTTACCCTAAAAACGTGATATTTCACAATTTAATTTATGTAATGAAGTGTGATTATTTGCCTAATGGCTACGGAACGGATATAATAAAAAAAACAGTAAATTTAAAATCCCCATGTTTTTTATGGTGAACCTAAGTACTCCTAATAATTATAAGGTAATTGAAATAGAAAATAAATGTGACAAATTTAAAGGAATATTTTATTAGCAAGCCCTAAGTTAAATGGAAATCCACTTAGTGTGCAGGTTTGCTGCGGCAGGGTATTTTATTTTATCTTTACATCCACCAAATTTACCACCCTCAAAATTACTATGCAGGTCTTTGTGTGGGGATATATTATTTTAAGTTTATATTCAACTTTTAAGGTAATTATCAATTTTCAATCATGTAGCCAATCGCTTTTTTATCCTGTAAAAAGAAAATCAAAATGTTTTGTGTTGTGCTGCTTCTAAGGAGCTTCCAGTAAGTCAATTCAATATCAGTTTGAGTTTCGCCTGCAAATTTGTTTTCAATTCTATTTCTAGTTAAAGAATGTTCCTGTTTAGAAGCGTTATGATTGTGGTACTTTGGTTAGACTTTTTGTTTGGCTAAGCTTTCTAGTTGGGTTTAAATTTGAAAAAAAAACTGTATGCCAAAAGGCCCTCAGTTTTAAAACGCATTGATTGAAAAATTAGAAAATGATTTAGTAATTATTTTTCAGTTTTGATATCTAGAAACTTTTATTTTTTGAGATAAGGAACATAACATTCAGTTGTTGGTTATTTAAATTAATCTTTTGTTTTTAAATCTCACACATCCCAAATGTGAACGGTCTTATAGGTATTACATTATTTTGTAAACTCAAAATATTAACAGATTTTTAGACTTTTAAAATGCTGTATAACCAGCCATTCTCGTTAATAACCTCCTTATCTTAGTCAGTCTTAAACAAAGACAGTGCGTTGAAATGAACATCCTTTTGGTGTTGTAGTAGACCTATCTGTTGATCGGATAGCTGTGGCGTTTGGCTTCATAATTTTGTTATCTTTACATTAAGATCAACTTGAGGAATCAAGTTCTAACTAATAAAAAATGTACTATAAAAAATAAACACACCTTTACAACCAATACAATACATGGAAAATTGTGATTAATTAAATTTACAACTCATTAAAATTAAAACACTTTGATATTTCTCAAAAACGCTACTAACCCTTTCAGATTCAAATTTATTTTAATTAATTTTTTTTTTTATTTGAAGATGGAGCCAGGCATCCAATATATTTATTGAAAGAATCAAAATTTTAGTAATATCTGTAAATTTAGATTCATTTGTCTTGTAATTTTCTATATATTAATATAATTTTAAAGTCAAAAAATTTAACACAATGATAATCCCAAAAATGTGTTCAGACTTAAACATTCACAACATTAATTTTTCTTTCAGTGCTATGCAACGATATATCATTGTGCCCCTTTTCCCCGTGTGACAAGTCTAGCACTTTTCGGATGAAATAATTAATAAACTATAGCATTTTTTGGGTAGTTACAAAAAAAATCTAGCATCAAAAGGCTTAAAGGCAACACTGTAGTCCTTTGGCATCAATTCTAATAATTAATGTAAACTTCAGTTATTTACCTCTTAATAATTGTAATCTGCATTCAAATAGCCTGGTTTTCATATTAATGCAACTATTCCTTGCAATTCCAATAGTTAAAAATAGTTAATCCAGCACAGTTATTCTTTCATATTAGCCTATTTGATTATCATCAAAATGTAAATTTTGTAACTTTGCATTTTAAATTTTGTAGTAATCTTCAAGATTCTATTTTTTCTTCAAAGAAATGTTTGTTACTACACTTGTTTTTGTACTATATTGTTTCAGTAAAATGTTGAGAGGCATTATTTTCAAATATTTTACTAATATTGAAAATAAACTACCATTTATTTTTTTAACACAAAACTATGAAAATACACCACAATGAATTTTTCTCAACTTTAACAACTCACAGTTTTACTGAATTATTGTAGAAGGATCATGTTTAAATAATTGTTACTTAAAAGTGAGAATTATTTCAAGAAATGTATTGTTATATAATGTAAAAAATGTTAAAAATAATTTTAGTGGGTATACTTAAAATAGGAATACAGTTGGATGTACAATTTTTGAATTAACATTCTAACCTAATGTTGTTTGATATAGTCGATAATGCGACTCCTTGATAGTCCAAAATTCTTGTTAATCAGACCCTGTTTTGAGAGAATCTTTAAATAACCGGATTTAATCTAGGTGTTGTCACTAGAATCGTGTCTGGTACGATTCCGCGGTTTTGATAGTTAGTACAGTACAGTAAATAGTATTGATTATCGTTCGATTACTAGCTAATTTAACCTAAGTATTTGACTTTTTTCCGTTACAACTTATGCAATTAAGGTAGGTCTAATTGAATTTAGAATGTTGGTTGTACTTGAATAAATCCAGGCCTCACGAGACAGCCTGCTGTAAACTAGAGTCAGTAAGCAAAATAAAATAGTTTTTTTTTATTCAGTAAGCGTTTTTTTTTTGTTTTTTTTTTTTTTGTAAAATTATACTTACACTGATTAACTGTATTGGTGTTATTTTCATCAAACTGAGGTATTTGATAGTCCAACACCTTCCAGGTCCCATAAGTGCTGTGTTATTAAGGCTATTATTAAGAAGCAATTGTGCTGTGTTCCTTAATTTATTGGTTAAATAAAGTGTTAAGGTTTAAATTATTAAATCTCCTGTTTAATATTTTAAAAAATGCCTTGTTTAAAATGCTGTTAACATATTGTTTTTATAGGTAAAAGGCCTTTGGAGGAGTTGAATCATTCTTATACTTGTGGAGTTTATTCAGTATTTATTGAATGTTATTTTATCATTGCTATGAACTGCCTGGCATATTTTTTACGCACAGATAACTTTGGCTCATTTTGTAGCATTACTTGTTTTACAGTTTATGTTTAAGATTATTTTTCATTTATTAATAATTAGGATTTAAAACAATCCTAAAATGTTTTATATCAAGTCTTTTAATCAATAAAGCGTTTTGAGATTAATACTGTAATACTGCTGTAATGTTTTTAGGACTTGATGGTCGGTGATGAGGCCAGTAAGTTACGCTCGATGTTGGAACTCAGTTACCCCATGGAGAACGGAATTGTCCGGTTTGTAACTTTGCCTTAGCTTACATCATTCTCATGGTTTCAGCTCAATGTTTTGGGCACAGTTTTCTGTTTGGTTTAGCATGAAAGTCTGTTAATTATAACTTTTAGTGACAAAAATAAAATACTTTGTGGTTGGCTGACCAGGATTTGCTTTTTAAATAATATAATATATAAGACTTACCGTCTTGAAGCAATCCAGTTTTTGTACTCAGTGTACAGCTGTTTCGGCTTTATAAAGCCATCTTCAGCACATTCTTCTAGAGGTCAATTCATTGTAAATATGCGAACATTCTGGTTCTTGTCAACTTTTTACAACACATTTTACACAACATAAAAGATGAAAACATAAAATTTGTTAGGCTTTGGTACAAAAATAAAAGCTTAGCTTATATATTCATTTTTTTACAATAGTTCTTGGTGATTTTATTAAGACTCTGCCTCTAGGAAAGTGTAAATCCCCTGTGTTCAGTGCAAAGAAGAAAGAACGAATCAATATTTTGGGAACATTTGTCACATTTGGCTTTCCTAGCAGGACATTCGGCCAGTGATCCGTGCCAATCATAACCACATTTCCTGCACTTCTTTATAAAATAATCCTTTTAACCTTTTAGAGCTCTACTGGGCTTGGAGTTTAGATTAAAGATTTTGCTTGGTTTGCAGGTTGCTGTTGTGGTGTAATTTAAATAAAGCATTTGTTAGAAAATTTTTTGTTGTATTACCTTTGGATAAATGATTATTTTAAATAAATAGGTGTATGTTGATATATTTCAGTAATTGGAAAGACATGTGCCACGTTTGGGACTACACTTTTGGACCTGAAAAAATGAACATCGATCCAAAAGAATGCAAGGTTTTGTTAACGGAACCTCCCATGAATCCTATAAAGAACAGGGAGAAAATGATAGAGGTAAGCTTTCTATGGTATTCATCTTTTACAGCAAGATTCCACTAAATTTACCCTGTATTCTTGGTTGAGAATAGTCTCTAAAAGTTTGGATGTAATCTTATACTACAAAATTGATGACTTGAAAATATTTTAATAAAAGATCTTAAAGCTATGCGTACTATTACACATGTAGGCTAAATTTGTAAAACAAGTTAATATCAATGTAGTAAAAATTTTTATTGCAAAAGAATGTGATATTTTCAGGTGATGTTCGAGCAGTACCAGTTCCACGGAGCTTACATCGCCATACAAGCTGTTCTGACGTTGTACGCGCAGGGTCTGTTGAGCGGAGTAGTGATAGACTCTGGGGATGGTGTGACTCATATATGTCCTGTGTATGAGGAGTACGCTCTGCCTCACCTCACCAGGAGACTTGACATTGCTGGCAGAGACATCACCAAGTATCTTATCAAGGTGAGTAACCCGATTGTAGTGGTAATAGACTCTGGTGATACCACAGGACAGGCTTCTACAGTCGTAAAGTGACCTAGGGTTAGTATCAGCACTTAACCCCCAAGGGGGCGATTGTGGAGTTTAGCTCCTTACGTTAAGATTTTGTCCATAAAACTAGGTAAATGTTGTCACCTGGTCATTTCCGGCTCCCTACCTGACACTCCATATTCCTTGATTTCCCCAAAACAATGTTTATACCCATGCTTCCCCTAGATTCAATCTGAGATGGGAGTTAGTGACTGTGGTTTTATTTTCAAGTAAAGGTTATTTTCTATTAACATATAATTGGTTTGGTTTCTTATCACTTTGGTTGGAATTTAACTGCAAAAATGACGTGAAATCAAATTCGATTGAATAAATTTGTATGGTTATGTTATGCGGACTCTCGCGTTTTATAGGATAAGCGCCCGCTCAAGGGTTAACCCTTCTGTGACATCTCATTTAAGTAGGGAAACATTGCCATTTTAACATGAACCACCAAAGTACATAGTAGGAGATAGGCTGAAGCTCCCCTTTTTAAGAGTAAAGTAAGCTCACTCTTCTTACAACTTTAAAATTGGTTGCCGTTGACACTCCGAGGTTTGATAGCTGAAGAATAAGACAACCAATATTACCAGAGACGGGTTTAGATAGTATATGCATGGAACAGGTTCACCTTTCTGAGGAAGAACTTATTGGTAGACTACAGGTATTTATCAGGTGCTTGTACTTTAAGGCAGTGGCGTAAATAACACCCCTACAGCCTCTGCTGTGAGGAGGGCACTGGGGTCTTAGGGGGTGCCGAAGTCTGACTGTTAACGCTCACCACAATTGGAGAAAAAGGAGACGTTGTTTCGGTGACTGCGGGAGACGATGATAATGTCCTTAAGACTGAAAAAAATTCAAGATTTTATGACATTGTTACCGTGACCAGGGGAGATGAAAATGTTATATACAAGACCAAAGAAGTTATAAAAGATTTTGCTCCAATTGTAGAAAAAGATAAACTTGTTTCCGTGTCCACGGGATATGAAAATGATGAGCTACAAGAGTACAAGACCAAAGAAGATAATGTATTTAAGATTTTAGCACAGTCGCGGAAAAATATTATGTTGTTTCCGTGACTGCAGGAGACAAAGACGATGTCAAGTCCTCAGAAGTTGTACAAGATTTTCCGCGATCCCGGATAACAATGACAATGTTTCAATGACCGCAGGAGACAGTGAAAAAACATCCGTCGATGTGAGTTTTTGGATGTTGCCGCGATCTTGTGACAACACTACTCTGTAGAAAAAAACATTTTTCACGTGATGTAAAATGCCAATTAGAACGGTATTGTACAAAAACCTCAATTTAAAAAAATGTCATTATGCTTTAAAGCAGAGCCATCAATTAATGCTGCTTTCTAACAAAATGTGACATTATTATCAAGACTTGATACATCAACTTGTGCAGAAGACAAGTCTTACTGATTATTTAATTTTATATCACAGCTAAAACGTCAGTGAAAAGTGTTTTGTCGATTTTGGCATGACTGTCACTACAATAGACTCCATACTTGTTGCCTTTGCCTTACATACTCTTATTTGAACCTAAATAAATACTCTAAATTGTGTTTTATCACATGAATTTAACTCTTTGTTTTGTAACGGCACTTTGTTCTAATTTTGAAAGGTTATAAAATGGAATTTGACATGTAATTGACAGTGCATTGCTCTTTCTGGTTAAGATACTAGACTCTGTAAATGGAATGAATCATATATTTCCCATCTGTACTCTGTGCCACTTATAAGTGCAGCTGGGTTTTAGAGGTAAGATATCTTCTAGGGTGCCTATGTAATCTAGGGTATGCTAGCATCATTCATCAGATACTTAGTAAAATTCTGTGTTGATAATGGATTCATATGCCTCAAACCTGAAGCAAAATATGAAAGTGAACTAACATTTTTAAACCACACATAAGAATCATTTTATCAATCAAAACTGAAATACAATTTTATTTGCAGCTTTTGCTACTGCGAGGATATGCGTTCAACCACACGGCTGACTTTGAAACTGTGCGAATTATGAAGGAGAAGCTATGTTACGTCGGTTACAACATAGAAACTGAACAGAAGTTGGCATTGGAAACAACAGTGTTGGTGGAACCTTACACGGTAAGTGTAGAATATCAATAGACCATTAACCAGTTCCTGCTATTTATCAGGAGCTGTTATAGTTTACTAACACTCGCATACAGCTGTATCTTGTTAGCTACAACTCATCTAGGGTTGCCATATCCCCTGAGATTACCGGATTTTGACATTCAAAATTTAGCTCCGGGGGATTTCTGCAAAAAGAGAGAAATCTCCACTTTTTTTTACTATCTATTAAAATACATTATATAACAGCACTTTTGGAATAAAATAGGCTACATATTTGCGTCCGCAAATATTATTATGCAATGACTAAAAAATGCAAATCTCGTACTCTCTAACTAACGTTTTTTTATTCCTTAGTTTCACTCTAGTCAGCAACTTCCCTAGTTTATCTTTAGTGATATGCATTTTATGGTCTGCACCAGATTTTTTAAATTTTTTTTCACTGTACCGGTACTCGAAATTCAACGCTGATTCCGAAAATGACGTTCCTTTTCTGCGGAAAACAACCATAACGCGGAAAAACTACCAAAAACAACCAAAAGATTTTTTTTTACCAAAACTCGTCATGTGGGTAGTCAAATTAAATGGCATATTAAGCAGATCACGAATATGCAAGATTTTTTTGGATTCGACAAATAAGCAAGATTTTGACAAAAACTTGAAATACCTACTATTTTGGTTGCTCCAACTTTAGTCTATGTTAAAATATCAGCTGGAAGCTCTGTTCCAGCCACATCTCATTGATGTTGTTACACCAGGTGATTTGTCTATTCTGTTACAGTTGCCAGACGGCCGAGTTATCAAGTTGGGAGGTGAGAGGTTTGAGGCTCCGGAAGCTCTGTTCCAGCCACATCTCATTGATGTTGTTACACCAGGTGATTTGTCTATTCTGTTACAGTTGCCAGACGGCCGAGTTATCAAGTTGGGAGGTGAGAGGTTTGAGGCTCCGGAAGCTCTGTTCTAGCCACATCTCATTGATGTTGTTACACCAGGTGATTTGTCTATTCTGTTACAGTTGCCAGACGGCCGAGTTATCAAGTTGGGAGGTGAGAGGTTTGAGGCTCCGGAAGCTCTGTTCCAGCCACATCTCATTGATGTTGTTACACCAGGTGATTTGTCTATTCTGTTACAGTTGCCAGACGGCCGAGTTATCAAGTTGGGAGGTGAGAGGTTTGAGGCTCCGGAAGCTCTGTTCTAGCCACATCTCATTGATGTTGTTACACCAGGTGATTTGTCTATTCTGTTACAGTTGCCAGACGGCCGAGTTATCAAGTTGGGAGGTGAGAGGTTTGAGGCTCCGGAAGCTCTGTTCTAGCCACATCTCATTGATGTTGTTACACCAGGTGATTTGTCTATTCTGTTACAGTTGCCAGACGGCCGAGTTATCAAGTTGGGAGGTGAGAGGTTTGAGGCTCCGGAAGTTCTGTTCTAGCCACATCTCATTGATGTGTTACACCAGGTGATTTGTCTATTCTGTTACAGTTGCCAGACGGCCGAGTTATCAAGTTGGGAGGTGAGAGGTTTGAGGCTCCGGAAGTTCTGTTCTAGCCACATCTCATTGATGTTGTTACACCAGGTGATTTGTCTATTCTGTTACAGTTGCCAGACGGCCGAGTTATCAAGTTGGGTGTTGAGAGGTTTGAGGCTCTGGAAGTTCTGTTCTAGCCACATCTCATTGATGTTGTTACACCAGGTGATTTGTCCGCTCTGTTACAGTTGCCAGACAGCCGAGTTATCAAGTTGGGAGGTGAGAGGTTTGAGGCTCCGGAAGCTCTGTTCCAGCCACATCTCATTGATGTTGTTACACCAGGTGATTTGTCTATTCTGTTACAGTTGCCAGACGGCCGAGTTATCAAGTTGGGAGGTGAGAGGTTTGAGGCTCCGGAAGCTCTGTTCCAGCCACATCTCATTGATGTTGTTACACCAGGTGATTTGTCTGCTCTGTTACAGTTGCCAGACGGCCGAGTTATCAAGTTGGGTGTTGAGAGGTTTGAGGCTCTGGAAGTTCTGTTCTAGCCACATCTCATTGATGTTGTTACACCAGGTGATTTGTCTATTCTGTTACAGTTGCCAGACGGCTGAGTTATCAAGTTGGGAGGTGAGAGGTTTGAGGCTCCGGAAGCTCTGTTCCAGCCACATCTCATTGATGTTGTTACACCAGGTGATTTGTCTGCTCTGTTACAGTTGCCAGACGGCCGAGTTATCAAGTTGGGTGTTGAGAGGTTTGAGGCTCTGGAAGTTCTGTTCCAGCCACATCTCATTGATGTTGTTACACCAGGTGATTTGTCTGCTCTGTTACAGTTGCCAGACGGCCGAGTTATCAAGTTGGGAGGTGAGAGGTTTGAGGCTTCGGAAGCTCTGTTCTAGCCACATCTCATTGATGTTGTTACACCAGGTGATTTGTCTATTCTGTTACAGTTGCCAGACGGCCGAGTTATCAAGTTGGGAGGTGAGAGGTTTGAGGCTCTGGAAGTTCTGTTCCAGCCACATCTCATTGATGTTGTTACACCAGGTGATTTGTCTGTCTGCTCTGTTACAGTTGCCAGACGGCTGAGTTATCAAGTTGGGAGGTGAGAGGTTTGAGGCTTCGGAAGCTCTGTTCCAGCCACATATCATTGATGTTGTTACACCAGGTGATTTGTCTATTCTGTTACAGTTGCCAGACGGCCGAGTTATAAAGTTGGGAGGTAAGAGGTTTGAGGCTCTGGAAGTTCTGTTCCAGCCACATCTCATTGATGTTGTTACACCAGGTGATTTGTCTATTCTGTTACAGTTGCCAGACGGCCGAGTTATCAAGTTGGGAGGTGAGAGGTTTGAGGCTCTGGAAGTTCTGTTCCAGCCACATCTCATTGATGTTGTTACACCAGGTGATTTGTCTATTCTGTTACAGTTGCCAGACGGCCGAGCTATCAAGTTGGGAGGTGAGAGGTTTGAGGCTCTGGAAGTTCTGTTCCAGTCACATCTCATTGATGTTGTTACACCAGGTGATTTGTCTATTCTGTTACAGTTGCCAGACGGCCGAGTTATCAAGTTGGGAGGTGAGAGGTTTGAGGCTCTGGAAGTTCTGTTCCAGCCACATCTCATTGATGTTGTTACACCAGGTGATTTGTCTATTCTGTTACAGTTGCCAGACGGCCGAGTTATCAAGTTGGGAGGTGAGAGGTTTGAGGCTCTGGAAGTTCTGTTCCAGCCACATCTCATTGATGTTGTTACACCAGGTGATTTGTCTGCTCTGTTACAGTTGCCAGACGGCCGAGTTATCAAGTTGGGAGGTGAGAGGTTTGAGGCTCCGGAAGCTCTGTTCCAGCCACATCTCATTGATGTTGTTACACCAGGTGATTTGTCTGCTCTGTTACAGTTGCCAGACGGCCGAGTTATCAAGTTGGGAGGTGAGAGGTTTGAGGCTCCGGAAGTTCTGTTCTAGCCACATCTCATTGATGTTGTTACACCAGGTGATTTGTCTGTCTGCTCTGTTACAGTTGCCAGACGGCCGAGTTATCAAGTTGGGAGGTGAGAGGTTTGAGGCTCCGGAAGTTCTGTTCCAGCCACATCTCATTGATGTTGTTACACCAGGTGATTTGTCTGCTCTGTTACAGTTGCCAGACGGCCGAGTTATCAAGTTGGGAGGTGAGAGGTTTGAGGCTCCGGAAGCTCTGTTCCAGCCACATCTCATTGATGTTGTTACACCAGGTGATTTGTCTGCTCTGTTACAGTTGCCAGACGGCCGAGTTATCAAGTTGGGTGTTGAGAGGTTTGAGGCTCTGGAAGTTCTGTTCCAGCCACATCTCATTGATGTTGTTACACCAGGTGATTTGTCTGCTCTGTTACAGTTGCCAGACGGCCGAGTTATCAAGTTGGGAGGTGAGAGGTTTGAGGCTTCGGAAGCTCTGTTCTAGCCACATCTCATTGATGTTGTTACACCAGGTGATTTGTCTATTCTGTTACAGTTGCCAGACGGCCGAGTTATCAAGTTGGGAGGTGAGAGGTTTGAGGCTCTGGAAGTTCTGTTCCAGCCACATCTCATTGATGTTGTTACACCAGGTGATTTGTCTGTCTGCTCTGTTACAGTTGCCAGACGGCTGAGTTATCAAGTTGGGAGGTGAGAGGTTTGAGGCTTCGGAAGCTCTGTTCCAGCCACATCTCATTGATGTTGTTACACCAGGTGATTTGTCTATTCTGTTACAGTTGCCAGACGGCCGAGTTATAAAGTTGGGAGGTGAGAGGTTTGAGGCTCTGGAAGTTCTGTTCCAGCCACATCTCATTGATGTTGTTACACCAGGTGATTTGTCTATTCTGTTACAGTTGCCAGACGGCCGAGTTATCAAGTTGGGAGGTGAGAGGTTTGAGGCTCTGGAAGTTCTGTTCCAGCCACATCTCATTGATGTTGTTACACCAGGTGATTTGTCTATTCTGTTACAGTTGCCAGACGGCCGAGCTATCAAGTTGGGAGGTGAGAGGTTTGAGGCTCTGGAAGTTCTGTTCCAGCCACATCTCATTGATGTTGTTACACCAGGTGATTTGTCTATTCTGTTACAGTTGCCAGACGGCCGAGTTATCAAGTTGGGAGGTGAGAGGTTTGAGGCTCTGGAAGTTCTGTTCCAGCCACATATCATTGATGTTGTTACACCAGGTGATTTGTCTATTCTGTTACAGTTGCCAGACGGCCGAGTTATCAAGTTGGGAGGTGAGAGGTTTGAGGCTCTGGAAGTTCTGTTCCAGCCACATCTCATTGATGTTGTTACACCAGGTGATTTGTCTGCTCTGTTACAGTTGCCAGACGGCCGAGTTATCAAGTTGGGAGGTGAGAGGTTTGAGGCTCCGGAAGCTCTGTTCCAGCCACATCTCATTGATGTTGTTACACCAGGTGATTTGTCTATTCTGTTACAGTTGCCAGACGGCCGAGTTATCAAGTTGGGAGGTGAGAGGTTTGAGGCTCCGGAAGTTCTGTTCTAGCCACATCTCATTGATGTTGTTACACCAGGTGATTTGTCTGTCTGCTCTGTTACAGTTGCCAGACGGCCGAGTTATCAATTTGGGAGGTGAGAGGTTTGAGGCTCCGGAAGTTCTGTTCCAGCCACATCTCATTGATGTTGTTACACCAGGTGATTTGTCTGCTCTGTTACAGTTGCCAGACGGCCGAGTTATCAAGTTGGGAGGTGAGAGGTTTGAGGCTCCGGAAGTTCTGTTCTAGCCACATCTCATTGATGTTGTTACACCAGGTGATTTGTCTGCTCTGTTACAGTTGCCAGACGGCCGAGTTATCAAGTTGGGAGGTGAGAGGTTTGAGGCTCCGGAAGTTCTGTTCTAGCCACATCTCATTGATGTTGTTACACCAGGTGATTTGTCTGTCTGCTCTGTTACAGTTGCCAGACGGCCGAGTTATCAAGTTGGGAGGTGAGAGGTTTGAGGCTCCGGAGGTTCTGTTCTAGCCACATCTCATTGATGTTGTTACACCAGGTGATTTGTCTGCTCTGTTACAGTTGCCAGACGGCCGAGTTATCAAGTTGGGAGGTGAGAGGTTTGAGGCTCCGGAAGTTCTGTTCCAGCCACATCTCATTGATGTTGTTACACCAGGTGATTTGTCTGTCTGCTCTGTTACAGTTGCCAGATGGCCGAGTTATCAAGTTGGGAGGTGAGAGGTTTGAGGCTCCGGAGGTTCTGTTCTAGCCACATCTCATTGATGTTGTTACACCAGGTGATTTGTCTGCTCTGTTACAGTTGCCAGACGGCCGAGTTATCAAGTTGGGAGGTGAGAGGTTTGAGGCTCTGGAAGTTCTGTTCCAGCCACATCTCATTGATGTTGTTACACCAGGTGATTTGTCTGCTCTGTTACAGTTGCCAGACGGCTGAGTTATCAAGTAGGGAGGTGAGAGGTTTGAGGCTCCGGAAGCTCTGTTCCAGCCACATCTCATTGATGTTGTTACACCAGGTGATTTGTCTATTCTGTTACAGTTGCCAGACGGCCGAGTTATCAAGTTGGGAGGTGAGAGGTTTGAGGCTCCGGAAGTTCTGTTCCAGCCACATCTCATTGATGTTGTTACACCAGGTGATTTGTCTACTCTGTTACAGTTGCCAGACGGCCGAGTTATCAAGTTGGGAGGTGAGAGGTTTGAGGCTCCGGAAGCTCTGTTCCAGCCACATCTCATTGATGTTGAAGGTCAAGGTTGGTAATGGCAAACTTTTGGGATTCACTTTAGTAAATTTATCATTTGTTAATTATGATTTAATATTGTTGTCTTGACGTAACATGTTTTATTCATAAGCCACCTTAAAGAGTTAGTTTTCAAGCATTTAGGCCTAAAATGCTAGTTACAGACAGTGATGTAATTTATTTAAGAACTATACATGTTTAGATTAGTAGCTTTTTAAACACTTGCTTGAAACACTCATAACCAGGTGGTGCTGAACTATTTGTTTTTTAAAGTTGATACTTTGCAAAATGAATAGAAGAAACTTGTTGGGTATAAAACATCTAACCTTGTTTTTTGATGTGGTCAGGTATCGCAGAGTTAGTTTTTAACACTATCCAGGCAGCAGACATAGACATTAGAGCAGAGCTGTACAAACACATTGTACTGTCCGGGGGCTCCACCATGTATCCTGGACTGCCAAGCAGGCTAGAGCGGGAGATCAAACAACTGTATTTGGAGCGAGTGTTGAAAAATGACATCTCAAAACTCAACGTAAGTTATCAATAATAAAGCAGGTGTGATCAAATCTATGTGGCAGTCATAGAGGACAAGCCGTGGCCAGCTCAATATTATCCCAGGACAAACTGTAGCTCAGTAGAAATCCAATCATCCAGTTCCCCAATTATTTAGATCAACTGAAAGAGAAACAAATAAATGTAGCCAAAAAATAAGTTAATTGCTGTTTTGCCGTAATCCATTAGCCTACATATTTTAATGTATCCCAAATGTGTCTATGCAGCGAATCTATTGCAGTGTTGTATTAAGTGGTGCGATGAGTCATCTGCCTTTGTCTTGTACTTTTTTCTTTAAAAAATCAACTATCTAGATGAGGTCCAATTGATTAGTTCCGCTCAAACCAACATTTGCACATGGATTGTGTATCTGTAACAAAATGAATGTGTGTTACGATGATAAATCCCACCTTTAAAAATGATAGGCCTGTGGCTTCACATGCTACTATTCACACAATTAGTATTCTTTCTAACTAGAACTTGACAAAATATCTACCGTTTATACATTTATAATAAGAGCAGTGCCCAAAACTACAGCGGTGCAAGGAAACACAGTGAATTTGCTTGCGTTGGGCTTGAACACAATCATATTTAAAGCTACAAATATTTGTTTACGATATTCAAATAACACAATAAGGACTTAGGTTTTGTTTGGGTATCTGCAAGTTCATCAGGCTTACAGATATTGGGTTTGGTTTGTAGAGAGCTATCAGGAGAGTTCAAAATGGACTGTAAGGTTATCCCTAAAGATGACTATGGTGTTTTGGTTTCAATTGTTATTCAATTTTGATTTTGTACTTTTCACAATAGCAAAGTATACAAATTTAAATAATATCTCCTATAACAATGCATTACTATACTTAACTGCCTCAGTAAAAATTCTTTAGGAGCATATTGTGGTCTGTGGTGTATCTTCACTCAAAACAAGCTTTGTTATGTAATCTTTGTTGAATTTTTGGCCAGTAGTAATTGATTAGACTCAAGTTATTTTTTATAGGACAGGTTTTGTCATTCGAGCCCAAGTTGTGATGAATACTATTTCCTCTCTAGTCTCACCTTTACATTTTGTGTTTTAGTACATTTCCTAACAGGAAAGTTTTTTAAAGAAATTACATCTCGCTGACCAAGAAGTTTTTTGCAAATTTCCCATTACAGTGGAACTCCAATTAACCGAAACTCCAATTAACCGAAACTCCAATTATCCGAATCGCTTACTTCAACAATTTTAAAAACGTAAAGCTACAGTAATAAGTTTTTCAAATTATCAAAGAATTGTTGTTGAACACATTTAGCCAGTGTGTAATTTTGGACTTTGATGGAACACTACTAACTTAATAAACATGTATAGAACACTTGTACTATGAGCATTGTAAACTGTAAAAATGTTCTGATTTCATTTATTATTAATTAAGTTCATTTAGTACCAAAAATGAGGATTTTTCTTTAAAATTCCTGGAACGGAAAAAAAACACGTAAATCTAATAACACGTACAATGCTGATCAAGAAGTTATTTAATTCCTGGAAGTCCCGTTAAAACTCTGATTATCCAAATTTTTGATTATCCGAATGGGGTCTGGTCCCTATTGATTCGGATAATCGGAGTTCTATTGTATAGGGAATAAGCTATTACCGTAGGTCTCGTGGGGTTGGTTGTATGGGGGATTTTGTGGTTTAAAAATTAGATTTTTCCAGCTTTGACACTCAAAACATAAGATTTTACAAATTACTTTTTAAAATAATGTTTAGATCTTAAAAAACAATTCTTTAGTATACTGAAGTGTTGTCGTATGCTTAACTAGTCGACCTGTGCAAAGCTTTTGCACCATATCCTCCTCAAATCCTACTTAACTAAATTACACAAAACTAAATTTTAAATTTCCTTGTTATTTTTATATAAAATACCTAATTTAATTGTTGTAATTTACTTACTTATACGTATATTTTGATCAAAATTTGGTAGATTTATTTAATTCATAGTGAGATTTAAAATTTTTCTTTAAAACATACTTATCAACTTCCTTTTAACTCCAAATCTAAGTGTACATTAAATTGGGAACTCTATTGCTAAAAGAACACTAGAAAACTACTCACAAATCTCCTGTCAGGTGCGAGATAAGATCCTTACCTCCTACGAGCCTTACCAAGTAGCTATAGGAGAAAGGAATGACTGGGAACAGGGCTATCTTATAATGGGCAGAGCATGCCTGGTATTTTACACAGCTGGAAGTCTGAAGGATGAGAGGTGGGGGTGTATGGTAACAAAACCAACATATCCCTAGCCCTGGGAAGCATAGTGACAGTTTTTCAATCGGAGGTCCTAGCGATTGAGTGCTGTGCGAAAACCATCCTAGATATGCTAACTACGGTGCTATACACAAAAAACGGCCCTTACTTAAAATACTGCCCTCCTATGTTATGTGACATTTTTTTAAGTATTTTAAGTATAAGGGTACTAATTTTAATATATCTTTTATCTTAGCCTGTGGAATCCAATTCTCTCAGTTGAAAATAATTTTTTTGTGTTTGTTGTGTCGAGAAGGACACTTCCTCATTCAGAGTAAACATGCTATCCCAACAAAAACTTGCTAACATTTCTATCAATTAATTTTTTTTAGGTTTTCTTACTAAAGTATAGTACTTTAAGGTATACTTCTGAAGTCACAATTCCTGTTTCACCTACCAAAAAGACCTTATTGGTAAATTCTAATTGTAATTAATTATATGTCTTTGTGGTTGACAATAGAAACTGAAAATCAAGATAGAAGATCCACCAAGACGGAAAGACATGGTGTTCATCGGAGGTGCGGTGCTTGCCGAAGTGATGAAAGATAAACCAAACTTCTGGATCACCAGTCAGGACTATCAGGAGATGGGGAAAAATGTGCTCAATAAGTTAGGGCCGAGATCAAGCTAACTCGTCTGATCTATTTAACCCCTAATCTAATTTACCTTGATAATCATATAAAGATAATTGCATTTATTTGAACATTGTCTATTGTACAGCAATAATTTGGATTGTGTTGAACTGAAGTGGGATTTGCACAATCAAGTTAAATTAACATTTTATTTTTCCATTTAATTTTGAATAGGCTATAAAGAAAGTAGTAAATTAAAACCAAATGGATGTAAATTCAAATGGATTTACTATTTTTACATCAATTATTTTATATATTACATTTATTTATTTATTCTATTCTATGCATGTCAATCCTTCCAAAGGATTTTAGGTGAATCTGCTAATGTTTTCACCAAAGCTTCGTTGTTTCAGTATGTTACCTGTACTGTTACTACATGGTACTCCACCACTAATAATGTATCTTATATTTAACATCCCGTGATTTTAAAAAATTCAATTTTTTAATCTCTCCTCGCAATTTACAAGACAAGGTCTTCCCAAACTTTTATTTTGTGTTCTAATAACATACAGCTTGTTGCCATATATTTCAGTGGTATTCATAATTTCAATTGCATTTAAAAGTTGAGCAGTTTGGGTAGATTGAATAAAATAAACATTGTAAATTGTGATGTCATGTAAAAAGTATTCCATAAAGAGACTAGATGTATATTTATTATTATGTTATTCATTCAGTTTTATCATTTATATTCATTTAAGATGATTTTGTATAATTATAACGATAAGAAATAAAGATTTATTGTTTTATTTGTGTGCATAGTATTGAGAATTTTCCGCCTTACATTATTTAAAAGAAAACTTTAGCTGTTAGTTGCTTTATGCCATTAGAATTCTTTGTAAATGATCAGTCCACAATGTCTACATGTTTTTATAGCAGGAGGATTGGTATAGTACTTAACTTTTTTGATAAAAAAGAAATGAACTCAGGTGTGCTGTTCTAGAAGCGTTTTCAAGAAATTCCTTCAGGGCTCTGCCCCAGTGGCCTCTAAAGTCTCCATATATCTTTAGGGAGAAAAGATTTGCTTACATTTAAACAGATGGATATTTTTGAATTTTAAAACGTTTTTATTAGCTCGCTTTCTTGACCGGTACAAATTTTGATATCAATTTTAAACTAACTTCCCAATGAGCTAGAGACTTCAACTATTTTGTTGAAGTTTTTAAGATTTGTTTATCAGAAACTAAAGAACAGTATATTATTTGATGTGTTCAACATCATTTGTAATCGAGTTTCATCCAATATTTTACGCGATGGCATCATGTCTTGTTCTATCACTATACTTATAATATTTATAATGGGTGCTCAAGAGAGAAGAGAAGTGCTTGATAATTTCAATCATTTCCATCACTAGGCTAAAAAAATTTCATAATCATGCAATTTCAGATGATTATATTGCTTTACAATCCCAGTTCACGTATTTGGTGAAATTGTTAAGGTAACACAGTACCTACTCAAATATAATAATTTTTAAAATTTTTTTTATTATTTAGTTTTGTAGAACCGACTTTTCTGAACACGTAGATAATAAAAATTTAGGAAGAAAAAAATTATTTTTTAAATTTTCAGCTACTTTTATAAACTATTGCAGCCTAATTTAGCATGTCCAAGGTCCTACTACTAATCAAGACACAGAGGGTACGCCGTCAAATATTAAATTATTATAAACATTTTTTATTATTTAGTTTTGTAGAACACACTTTCCTGAACACGTACATACCAAATATTATGGAAGAAAAAATTATTATAAGGTATACAGCGACTTTTATACACTCTTACTTTAGCATGCCCAAGGGTCCTACTACTACCGGTGACAGGGGGTACTTTTGTCGTTTTCCGAGAGTCAAGTGGTTTTTAGTCAGGTACTCTTTTCTTCCTCAATTATGATCCAATTTCAATAAAAATTGGTGTGTGTGTTCCTCATATGATAAGGAACAATAATGAATCAGTTTCCATGACAACCAAAAACCTTTGAAATAAAAAAATATTTTATGTTAAAAAACTACAAAATATTTTATAAATTTTTTTAAAATCATACTTACAATTTAATTTTGTTCAAAAACTTTTTTGCTTCATATTATTGTTGGTTATATTGTATTAAACTTAGTACAAAAATTTCAAGTTCATAGGTTAATATTTGTAAAAGTTATGTGTACCTAAAAACTGTCATTTTAACATGGGCGGGATAGGGAGTACTGTGTCACCTTAAAAGGATTAGATTTTTATGTTTTTTCATAGAGAAATTTTATGCATGATATCGATAGTTATTCCTTTTTCTGGAAAGACGAGTAAAGTCATTTTTATGCGAGTACATTCGGCTGGGTGAAAATATCATAGACTCTGTAGCCCTGCATATGTTTAGGGCCTTTAAGTGTAATAAGAACCACAATAAAACATTGTACAAGAGTTTTATGTTACTCATGACAGTACTATTGGAAAATTAGGTTTAACCCTTCCCGGACGGGTGAAGGATATATCCGCCTAAGTCTTTGGCGATAAAGGACAGGTGGTGGATATATCCGCTTATTGTTTTTGAAGTTCCGAACGGGAAGCGGATATATACGCCTTCTCTTCAGACTGGCAGGTGCTTGAGCAGTAACCAGTTGGTTCGCGGTACCAAGGCGCCACTTTCCAGCTCTCCCGCACTCCCCCTCTCTCCCGCGCCAACCCTTCTCCCGCGCACCCCCCCCCCACCGGCCACTCCTACGCTCCCTCCTCAACGTTTCACGCTCAACACTATGTTGTCTTTATTTATTGTTTACATATTGATCTTTATGGGGGTAATAAATTACCTAACGTTGTCATGGTCATATCTTCAAAGACAGGCATCCCTGCTTTTCTACTCATCCGCGGCCAGTGAAAAAACGAGTAAAAAATTATTTGACAGTGTGAAGTGGTCCATTGTGTTTATTTTATTTATACTTGTATAGCAAAACACAAATAAGGAAAATTAATTTTTATTTTTTCCTATAATTTTTCCCCGTTTTATGTCACAATTACGCCCGTCGGGGAAGGGTTAATCATGACACCTACGTGAAAGGAGATACAGCGGGAATTGTTTTCTTAAAAACAAATCTGACCAGCTGATTTATAGCCAGTGCTGCCAACGTATTTCGCGCGCATACGACCTTGTCTGCATGTTACGCGCTCACTATTTCGTGCCTTCACGTTGCAAATCTGGAGTGAGACAACGTTAACATTGTCTCACTGATGAGCGAATTGGCCACTTTGCTTTCTCAAATCAGTGAGAGAACATGTACATTGTTAGGCCCCTATTAGCCGTGAGCAACATGTGGCGCAGCTAGTGGAGCCGCCGGTGTCGGACGTGTAGAGGGGCATGGAGTCAAATGGTGCCTATTAGCCGTGGAGAGACCGGTGGCGCCGCCGAAAAAGCTGCCCGAGGTGTTGCCGGGAGTGATTTTGCCCGGCAACAACATGTGTCACGACTGTTTTAGTGTCCAGGCAGTCGGGGGGCATTGCAGTATATGGAGCCTATAGCCGTGGGCAACATGCGACGCCACAGACTGCGCTCGCATGCGTTATTAACGTGAAAACGAAGCCTGTCACACAGTCTACATCGTGGTTTGAGTCGATTGAGACGTGCCTCGCCATATTGCTGTTATATTCATTAGTGACTTCGGTTCACTTTGTTTACCAGTGACCTTTTTAACAGCAGTGTATTCTTTCCTTTTTGTGTCATATAGCGTTTTTAGTTGTATTTAGTTTAGATAAATAATGTCTAGTGCTAATAGTGACGTACAAATTGTGGATGCAGTCACTCAACGTCATGTTTGACACTAGAGTGTTGTGGTGAATTCCGCTGTTTGAGCGAGCTACGAACTTGTCGCGCAACTAGTGTCCAGGTTCCAAACGCTGCGGGTCACCGGCGTCACCACCGGCGGCTCCACTAGCTGCGCCACATGTTGCTCACGGCTAATAGGGGCCTTAGGTAACTGTAGGAAATAGTATATTTCATTACTAGGACCGAAAGTGGCATTTTCCGTCGCGCGCCCAAGTTTTTGTGTGAGGCGAAGCCGAACACAGGGAACCCCAATTTCACGTGCGAGGCGAAGCCGAGTATGTGAGAGCTATTTTCACGTACGAGGCGAAGCCGAGGACGGGAATAATGGAGCAAGTGCCGGATAATAACTTTCGGTACGAGTTATGAACGATACTTTTCATCACGACGCAAAAATACACAAACACAGAATAGCAGACCTCAGTATATTAAAACCATTTGATTTCTCAATTAATTTGATTGAACATCAAAATAGAATAAAATCTTCTAAAAAGAAACCTACGTATATTTCTCAATAAATTTTGTTTAAACATCAAAATAAAATAATAACACAACTTTTAAAAATACATACAGCTGATTAAAATCATTAAATTAAACCGTAACAAAACACTGGCGCGCGTAGTGAATAAATGGAGAACTAATTGAGAGCGAGGGAAAGTAAATTTAGAGCGAGGGAAAATCAGCTGATCGATTTTCCCTCGCCCTAAATTAGAGCTTGGGAAACGACTACTTTCATTGATATCAGCTGTTATCGAAAATAGTTACTTTCGTTAAGGAGTGATGAAAAGGTATTTTCTTGTTTATTAATGTTTAAAAGAAAAGTCTAGAAAGTTCAGAAATACCGATAGAGAACATAAACTATAAACACGAAATGACAGGTTAAATCGTAGTTATAATAGTCAATCAGCTGCTCATAGTATTATTATCTTCAAGTGTTGCCAACCTATTTCCAAGCGTACACGGATTACGTGCATAATGAAACCACGCTGTTTTGTGTTGTTTCGTTGGAATCCTGATGTGCGCCAAAGTATAAACCGTACGACACAGTATAAATATGCAGCAATTAGCAGCTTTCTGTACTATAAACAGTACAAGGAAGCCAACTTTGTCGGGTGACTGTAGGAAAAGTAGGCTTCTTGCACAGATTATAGTACAGAAAGCCACTTCGGCGCACAGTGTTAAAATTGTTGCACACCAGTATTCCAACCAAACGACAAAAACACCTTGCTTTTATTATGCACGTAATCCATGTACGCTTGAAAATAAGCTGGCAACACTTCAAGGTATTACGACAACGATCAGCTGGTGCGCCGTTTCCCATTTCGTTCATTGTTTTGATTTAACCTAACCTAAAAACGTGTTTTACAGTTTTTGAATGACTGATTTATAGTAACCGTAGGAAAAATATAATGTGTAAAACGAATGCAAACTGCATTTGCTGCACTCGAGAAACTTTCCACACTCGCCTGTTACACAAATAACTATTTCCTAACTAACTAGCATAATTTCGAAAAAGCCCGGGAAGAATGTATAGATCCATGGTGGAAGGAAAAAACTTAGGTGTGCTATTCCCACATGTTCTGACGTCACTCGGATTGCAAACAAAATATCATCTGATTGTAACTGTGAAATTAGTAGGTATTTGTTTTTATTTGATTGTTATTGTTTTTATAATAATAAAAACAATAACAACTAAATCAAAACAAATACATATACTAATTTGACAGTTACAATCAGATGATCTTTTGTTTGCAATCCGAGAGACGTCAGAATATGTGGGAATAGCACACCTATGTTTTTTCCTTCCACCATGGTATAGATCATTCGTGTTTTTAAGGTGAAATAATATGGCTACATGGTAGTTCAACTAAGCCAACTTATTTTAAGCAAATTAGAAAAGAAGAAGAAGAAACATTCGAGTTGTCAACAACTGTCAAGTTGTCGTCTGTCGCCT